AGCCACCCAAGCCCAGCAAAAAATCTGCTCACAAGTCTCTCCTGTGATGGTGCTGTCAACCCCTGAGGCCAGGAACCAGAGACACTCTGCTAAATAACACCCCACATGGCAGCCTAGCTCACAATTTCCCTGATCCACAGCATGCCAGGCCAGCCAGCCTGCATCCCACACCTGCATCCTGCATCATCCCACATCCTGCATCATCTCATGTCCTGCATCACAGATCTCCCATGGCTGCCCATGGACAGCAGGGCTGAGGCTGCAACAGGGCTTCTGGAGCTGCTTTGCCCCAGTCCCAGAGCAAGCCAGATCTTTCTAGAACCTGATTCCTGACAACAATTCCCCAAATCTACCTTTCCCCTCCCAGATATTAGAGATATGGCAATAATAAAAACACCTGGTTACATGGTATATGTTGCTATAAGGGCAGTCCAGCTGCAGAGAGCTTACCTCCTTCTCTCTTCCTTCCCTACTTTTTGCAGAAAGGGTAATTGCAAAGATAATTGGCTGACTTTGGGCTGAGTGATTCAGACTTTCAGATAACTGTTGTAACAAGAGCTCCTGGTGGTGGCTGTGCCAAGACAAGGGTCAGTCTTGGTTTCACTTAAAAACATCTTGGGTTTTTCTCATTGCTTGGTTTTCCGACAGCAGCAGGGCAAAGATGCCACCTACTCCTGCAGCAATTCCTCTCCCCTGTGCAGCCACATCCCGGTCACAGGAAGGTGTCTGTCTGTCTCAGTTCCGTGCTGGCACTTTTTTGGATGGTGTCAGGCATGTTGGAAGTGGCAGGACCAGCAGGGAGAGCAGCTGGCTGGCAGCACCGGGAATGCAGTGCCTGCACAGAACCCACGCTGCTCTCCAGGCAAATTTACTGTCAAATGGCACCAGCAATTTCATCTAAACTCCACTGGGATTTTACGCTGGAAGCAGCCTGTAAACTAAATAACTATTGCAACATATTTGTCAGACAGCTGTATTAAATGCTTCAAGATATACATTCATCCTCGAGACATGCGTGGTCAGATGGGATCCAGGCAGCTTGCATTACTCTGCAACACTTGCTGGGCTCTTGCCATGATTTTCTCATCTATCATGTGTTTGGAAGCTTGAAATGTTATTTTTTTTTTTTGGCATTACTGCTACATTTCATCTGTCATCACGATGTGCTGCAGGAACACACAGGGACAGATGGGCCTGGACTCCTCTTCCTATCTGAATAAACACAGGCACAACCAGGGAAAGCAGCTGCTGCAAGGTCAGCCTCTGGGCCAAGGCACCCATTTGCCACCTAAATTTCACCTGCTCAGTAAAACACTTTTTCTGCAATGAATTCCAACCATGTGAGTTAAATCAGTGAGGAAGATCCTCTCCCTCTTCTGCTTAGGTGTCTCAAGTGAGTGGAGAAATTCCCAAGACCCAGAAAGCAAATCCCACAGCCTGCTGAGTCTGTGGCTGTGGTATGGGATGGAAATTCTCCAGTGTGAGTTTCTTGTTGATGGCCTGAACTGTTGTGACCCCACTGCCAGCACGTGGACATCCACAGCACTAAGACAACCCTCCAGAGGCTCTCTGCAAATGTTTAACAACTTTCCAAGTGTCCTTTAACACCCAGCTGCAATTTTACCAGTCTCAAATGTTCAGAAGGTCAAGCCAAGCTCCTGTTCCCCCTGCCAGCCTCCTCAGACCACTGTGGCTACCAGAAAACCCTTGTACCTGCTTTTTCATGCTGAGATCTTCTTCTGGAGTCCTCCATCACCAGGACTGTAGATTTTCCTGATGCTAACAGATGGCTCTGGCCTTGTCCCAGGCCCTTACAACAATCAAACCAATACTGCCCCAATTCTCTTTTATTCACTAGCAGCTCTGCAGCAACTTTACCTTTTGAACTTTCATTGTTTCTTCCCCAGCAAAACCTCCTGAGTTTTCTTTCCCAGGCTGTGAGTGTTCATGGTTTCTCTTGCTGTGAAACCTCTGAAATACATGAGAAAGATTTTTCTCTCCCCTCCACCAGTGAAACATAGAATGCAGAGGCTGGAGGCTGGATTAAACCCAGTTTTGCTATCACCAAAGATCAGACTCTTGCTCCAAATCCCCATAAATGGGTTTAGCCAGTTAGTCCCCTATGTTCCCTCCATATTAGCTCATCACTTGACATCTGATATGAACTTCAAGACAAACCATATCCCTTGTCTTCACCAGTAAAACTAAAAAAAAAAATCTAAACCAGTAAATCAGAGTTTACTGGTTAATTTATAACTATAAGGAAGCCAGTTTGGTAAAAATTAACCCTGTTCATGGTCAAACTCACTCTCCAGGGAATTTGTCAGCACTGAAAATTTCTGTGCTATAAAAGTTTCATCTGAAGCTGCACCAGAAGCTCCATCCACCTGCCTGGCCCCTCCAACTCTGGGTTTGGGGGTATTTATGTGTTGTTTTGTAGGGGATTGCTGAAGGGTGCCAGCCAAATCCAGATGGGTCAGTCTGGTAATGATGTAGGTACACAGGACAGTTCAAACAGCTCCACTGGCACTGAACAAAGGCTCAACCATCACATATCCCTCTTTTCCTTGTGCAGAGCTTGTGAGGGACCCAACTACACAGCATCTTAATATTTATTAATGTTCTGCAGGCCTTCCCATGAGAGTTCGTCATGTCAAACTGGGTCCCTTATGCTCTGGCTGTACCCAAAGTCCTCCCTAAGAGATGCCTAACTTGATTATAGTTTTCTGCCTCCTAAAGATCAACCTTTAACTCTGCCCTGAACTTTCACACAGACACAGCTGGCTCAGTACAAAAAGACACACCAATTTTCATGAAGATGGCCAAGTGTGTGAAAAGGTAACACTGCTCAGTGTGGTGCCTGCCAGGGATGTTCTCCAATGCAATGACAATGAACCTCAGATAAACAGTGGTTTTGTCAGCAAAATGACCCTACAAGCAGAAAATGTGGGACATGGCTATTTTAGACTAAAAACTAAAGGGAAGTGCCCAAATATCAGAAGTGCTCTGTCTCAGAGATGTGTTATATTGAAAGGAAGCACTCTCAGAGTTCAGCAGCCCCTGTGTTGTAGCCTATCAGACTGTCAGTCTCCACAGCTGATAAATCATTTGATCCTCATAATATCCCAAGGTTCAATGGGACATTATTTCAGCCCATCTGGGGATCCTGACTTTTACAATATGCATGGAAGTCACCCACACATGTCAGAATTCCAGCTCTCCACCAACCCCACATTGCCAGTCCGGGTTTCCGGGCTTATCGGATGGGAACCCAGGGAAGCAGCAGGATCTGCACAGGGATTGCAAGGAGGGTTTTACCTGGGCCCCAACCAAGCACTGCATTGGAGAGGTAAATGCAAGGATGCAGAGCCCTTTTGGAGAAGGTGAGATGCCACGTGGGCAGAGGAAGGAGGGCTCACCAGGGCTGTAGAGGGAGGATGGCCCTGCCATCACACCTCCCCATCATGTGCTCTCAACCTTGTTGCATTTATCTCACTTCCCTGCTCTGCAGCTTTTCCTCTCCTCGCCTCATCTACTGGCCATGGTGATTCCTCTGGACAGTAGTTTTGTCTCCTGGCTTGTGGAAGGAGCCCTTGGGGAGCAGGGCCACATCCCTTGTGTGCTGCTGGAGTGATGCCCACTCTCTGGCTCACAACCATCTCATGCAAGTTGATGTTTTAAATGCCTTTCAAGTTTCTTGACATCAAGGAGTTTCAGCCACTAGTACTTTAGTAAATTCCAACAGATTTTGTTTTAGTGTAGATTGTCTTAGTGGTAGATTTTCAGCAAGTTTCCTGAATCTCAGGGATACTGCAAAGCAGGGTATGTTCTGCTCAAGACAGTACCCCTACACAAGCAGGATACTGCTTTCACAGATGCAGGGGGCTGACCCCATGCAGCCACTCATGGAGAAGAGCTGGTCTGTGTGTTCTCATTTCCAGAGGGCAGATGAACACCTTCCACGCCTGAACCCTCTGAGAACAGCACAGAGCCCAGCCAGAGCCCCAGCCTGCCTGCAGCTCACCTCCTCCCTCCTCTGGCTTCATCCACCTGGGCATGGAGGGCTGTGGGTCTCTCAGGATCTTGTGCTGGTCACCGTGACCCTGAGATTGTTAAAAGTCTCTTTTCCCAGCCCGGCGCTTGAAGAATGAGTCGGTGCTCTTCAGTTTTTGGTCTCAAGGTTGTTCATTGTATCTTATCTATAAAACTTTTTCTCCTGCCCTGCGGAGGTCTGTCCAGCAGGACAGTTCCAGGCACTCTGCCTGCCCCCGGAGCAGTGTTATCTCTTTATACTAAAAACTCTGTATACAATGTTTACAATTACTTTCCAATACCTATCACCTATGTTAGACAGTGAGCTTCTACTCTAAACCAATCTAAAAGTGCCAACATCACAGCAGAAAATGGAGGCCAAGAAGAAGAAGGAGAAAGGCTGGACACGCCCAGATCCCTCCATCTTGCCCCCTGGATCCCCATTCTAGAAACTCCAAAATCTACTTTTTCACCCCGTGATAACCTCACTATTATTCTACCTAAACTGTTGTGGCTTGCTGATCCTCATCTAAGGTTGGTAATTTGCTCCACGGGTCATAATCAAACCCACAGGTGTTCTGGGCTCTGTGCCAGGGTCTCTGAGCCCCCTGGCAGGGGTCCTGGCCATCCTGGACAGCCAGAGGGATGTGCTGGGTTCCCACATGGGTGGGTGTGACAGCACTGCTGGGTCTTCAGCAAAAGCAGGGAATGCTCAGAGGCTGGCTGTTCTCCAGGCTGCGGGGGCAGGCTGCAGGAAGCAGGTCAAAGGGGGACTGCGTGCACAGGCTGCCAGCCGAGCTGACGCAATGTTTGCCCTGATGTTCCAGCAGCTATAAATTTCTGCCACCTCCACTTCACCAGGCTCAGCTCCTGCAGAGGAGGAGGGAGAGGATTTTTACCTGCACCTGGCTCCGGTGTGAGAGGAGCAGGTGAGAGACAGGCAGGAGAAGGCAATGTCCGGGAACAGCATGGCATCTCTGCTGGACAGAATAACCAGACCCTCTGCTGCCATCCTGCAGCTGTCTGTGCTGCTTGGTGTAACCTTTGTGCTGCTGAAGGTGCTCCAGTTCTACTGGGAGAGGAAGAAGCTCATCAAAGCTCTGGAGGCATTCCCTGGCCCCCCAAAACACTGGCTCTATGGTCACAATCACCTGGTAAGGATAGCTGGGCCCAGCCAGGGTGGGTTTGTTCCAGCTGTGCAAGGTGTCAGTCAGGATGGAGAAGGGCTGGATGGAGTGTGCGTGTGCCCTGCTCCTGTCTCTTCCTACAGGAGAGAACTTCTGTGCAGGGAATGCCAAGGCTTCTGCAGGGCAGGAGGAAAGGTGCTGGATATGTGGTGTGCATCATTTAGCCAAAAAAATCATGGTTTTGCAATCATGTCATTAAACAAAGAGTCATGGGATTTCCATAAAGTTATTTAAATATGAGCAATCATAATTATTGTCTCTTTGCTACATTAAACCTTCTACCAAAAGGAGTGTCTTACCCTATAGCTGCTGAGGAAGACATGGCCACAAAGGCAGGGTGCTTTAATGCAGCCATTTTCACCAGGCTATAGTGCAGATGCTTTGCTTTTTCACACTGCATGCCCACCTTGCACTGCTGAAACTGGGGAACAGGGGTGACAGCCTTGGTCCTCCTGGCCTGTCCACCAGACATCCTGGCATTGCCTGTGCCAGCTGCAGCCCCCAAGCGCAACACGGAGCTGCTCCAAGCCCAGGCCATCCCAAGGTGTCTCAGACACCACCAGCCCAGCAAGGGACTCTCCATGGAGCTTTCTTGTGCTGCAGGGATTTGGTGGCTGAGGCAGCTTTGCCTCTTGTGCACAGTCCCTTTTAATGCTCATGCTCTCCTCCACCTGCAGCATAAAAGCCCCTGTGTGGCAAGTCCACCCACTCTTCCTTCATTTCCCAGTAGAGAATTCTGCTCTCCCTGGCATGCCCCTCTTTTTCTGCCTTTATTAATCCCTGATTAACTCTCATTGCAGTTAAAATCTGAAAATTTTTTACACCAAGTAGTGTCATGGGGAGAAGAATATCCCCATGCCTTTCCCAGATGGTTTGGACCAATCCTGCCGTCTATAATCATTCACCATCCTGAATATGCCAAAACCATACTTGGCCGAGCAGGTGAGTCTCTGCTTCCAGTTCTGAGAAGCCTTTGACACTTTCTTACCAAGGAGATATTGGGAAACTTGCCTGGAGTTATCCCCTCTGCCAGCTTCCTTCACAGCTATTGCAATTCTTCTTTTGCTCCTCTTCACACGCTCCCAGGCTGCCCCAGGTTTCATGGAGCAGTGTGTATTCCTGTGCAAAACAGAGACCAGGTGCCTGCTCCTTCCAATTTCCTGTCAGTTCCCAGTTTGAGGGTCATCTGTCTTACTGTCTCTTATGGCTTCTACCACCACAATAGTTGTGCTTCCCAGTAAACCCAGTAAAAAGTGTAAACTGCCATGGCAATGTCTCTCAGAAGTCTCTTAAGTCTTCTCATCTGCTCCCTTCTGTGCATCACATCAGTGGTACATACAAGGCCTTCCCCAGTAACTCCCATCCCATCCATTGTTCTCAGTTTTGGAATTTGCCATGGCTGTTTCTTTTCCACACACATTTTCTTGTTCTAACTTTCCCTGTTTTTTCAAGTCCACTGCAGTCATAATTGTAGACGAGCACTTTTAAACTCTAACCTCAGGTGGTACAGTATTTAAATGAGATTAATTCTATCATGTGATTTAGAGGGCAAAATCTAATGCAAATTTATCCTGAATTTTCTCTTTGGTTGTGTTGAATTCATCAATTATTCATAGATTTCTGATATTTGTTCCATTTTACAGATCCCAAGGCTAGTGCAGTCTACAAACTCCTAGTTCCCTGGATTGGTAAGCCAAAAGCAGTAGTGAGGCTGTCAGAGCTGTGATCAGAGCCTGCAGGAGCTGATTGTGCCTTTGCTCTTCGTGCTTCAGGGAAGGGGCTGCTGATCTTGGAAGGAAGCAAATGGTTCCAGCACAGGAAGATGATCACCCCAGCCTTTCACTACGATGTGCTGAAATCTTACGTGACCCTGATGTCAGACTCAGTCAAAGTGATGCTGGTAAGCATCCCCACTCCTGCCACTTTTACCTTTCAGCGGTGAAACAGTGAAAAGAAAAAATGAGTAAGAGAAAGAGACAGCGCTTAGAGAGTTTGTACTTTCACTGAATTTTTGGAGTAGTTTTAGAGTTCTAAAATTGCTCTCCTCACCTTCCTTTGGACATTCCACTTATTCTTTCTCTTTGTTTGCCAATAAAATCAACCACTGTAAGGATATCCTTTCATACCCTGATGTGTATCCTTTCATACCTGGGAAAAGAAGTGCACAGAGTTAGATTAGGTTCACAGAATATATCATGAGCTAGGCCCTCTGCTTCCAGAAAAGAAAGCAATTAGCAGTGTGGACCTGGGAAGAAGGACAGGAAAATATGTCCTGACCACAGATGGTGTCCGGTCTCTCCTTACCCTGGCTCTTCCTCCAGGATAAATGGGACAAGAGGATCACAGAGAGGAGGTCAGTGGAGCTCTTTCAGGATGTCAGCTTGATGACACTAGACAGCATCATGAAATGTGCCTTCAGCTTTAATTCCAACTGTCAGACTCAGAGGTCGGTGCCTGAGTTTCCAAACCCTGGGAAAATGAGCGCTACTGTTTCAACACTCATTTTGCTAACACCAGCCTTGCCCTCGGTCTCCTTACAGCGACTCCCACTATTATATTAGAGCTGTTTTTGACCTCAGCTACCTCCTGAGTGATAGGATCCGGAATATGCCCTTCAAGATTGCCTTCTACAACTTCACTCACAACGGCCGCGCGTTTCAGCATGCCTGCAAGCTGGCCCACACCCACACAGGTATTCCTGCCCCTTTCTCCCGGCCCTGTCTCCCAGCTGAACCTCTCTGCCTCTTGCCCCTGGAGTGGCTCAGAGTGGGGTTACAGCATGGACTGGCCAGAGGGTTACACCTTAAACAGAGTCCAAGCTGATGGCCGAGCAGCCAAGCACATGAGGGTGCTCTGGAGGGACAGGATGCACAGATCTGATCTCTCCTCTGTGCAGATCAGGTAATAAGAGAAAGAAAGATGTTGCTCTCCAATGAGAAGGAGCTTGAAAAGATCCAGAAGAAGAAGCACCTGGATTTTCTGGACATTCTGCTTTGTAGCAAGGTAAATGTTTGAGATGATTGCACCAAATGTCAAAGAACAGAACCGTGTGGCACTGAGGGGGCATCAGCACAAGAAGGGGAGCACAAGAGACACCAAATCATACAAGTCCTTTGGGTATAAAAACAAAAGACCTGCGTGCTTGGGAATGACATGCTCTCCTCTTTCTTAGGATGAGAATGGAGTTGGGCTGTCTGATGAGGACCTGCGTGCTGAGGTGGACACCTTCATGTTTGAGGGCCATGACACAACAGCCAGTGGCATCTCCTGGCTGTTCTACTGCATGTCACTGCACCCTGAGCACCAGCAGCGCTGCAGGGAGGAGATCCAGGGCATCCTGGGGGACAGAGACACCATTGAGTGGTGAGCTAGGACTTCTTACTCCTTCATCTTGAACTCTTTTAATTTACCCTTGAAGGTCTTGTTCCCCCCAACATTCTTCTCTCTAAACTGGAGGGAGAAGGATTTGATGGGTGGACTGTTCAGTAGTTGAGGAATTGTTTGGAAGGTGGCACCCAGTGGGTGGTGGCCAATTGTCCAGATCAGTGACAAGTGGTTTCCCTCGGGGGTCTGTACTGGGACAGACCAGTAACACCTTTGTCAATGACATAGACAAAGGGATCGAGTGCATGCTCAGCAAGTTTGCTTTCAGGGAGGATCTTGGGAAGATGACCTACACCACGATGTGCATCAAAGAGAGCTTGCGCCTGTTCCCACCCGTTCCTGGTGTGTCCCGAGAGCTCTCCAAACCCGTGACATTTCCTGATGGACGCAGCTTGCCAGCAGGTCTGTTGAGTTTGTCCATCCTTCATGTTGCTGTCTGTGACAAGGGGTCATTCCTTGCTCTGTGTGGAGGGGCTGGAGGGTCTTCCAGACTCCCTTCTCTCTCTCCTGTAGCAGCATGGAGCTACCATAGCTTGCTGCCACAGTGAGCCTGGAAAGGGTGGCCAGACAGAGTCCAAGAATGTGCTCCAGAGCTCAGAGGGGATTGTGGAGTGTTGTTCCTGGCCAGGTGAAAGTGACACACTGATAGACAAAAGGGGACCCAGCTCTGAGGTCTTTGTTTTTGATGTGTGAAATGTTCAGGAGATCCCTCCCAGATCTCCTGCAGAGCCTAGGGAGGAAGAGCATCCCAAAAACACCTCTCCTGCATTTCCACTCCGAGCTGTCATGAGCTTTTCCTCACTTTTCTTTTACAGGCTGCCAGGTTGGATTGAGCATATTTGCTATTCACAGGAACCGGGATGTGTGGGAGGACCCTGAGGTATTTCACCTTGATAACAAGAAAGGGAGGATGGTCTCTGAGCCCAGACACCCATTTCCCTTGAAGAAGGCAGCCTGTGCCTCCCTACTATGTTGTTTTATTTTCCCTTGTAATTCCAACAGTCCACATCTAAATACAAAGTTCAATCGAGTTTCCAAACACCCCAAAGGCTTTGAATGTGACAAAGGGCTAGGAAAGGGTTCAACAGTCTCTCTTTGTGCATGGGGACACAGAGATGCTCTGGCAGCTTTCCAGCTGCCCTGCACACACTTAGAATGGTATGACAAGTCCCAAGCCCCACAAGAGAGTGTGTGATTTGAAGATGATATTTTAGAGGCTTCAGGAAATAACTGGGAAGTTTGAAGAAGGCTGCATAGCTGCCTGTCTCCAGGCTGTCTGGAGAGCAAGGATCAGGCATCTCTGGAATGGAAGGATCCTGGCTTGATCCTTTCTGCCATGGATGAGAAAACACCTGCAGGCACCTTGGGCATTGTAGTGGGTGACCTGGGCATGTCTGAGGGGAAGATCCACTCAGTGGCTTTGCAGAGAGATGACTGCAGAGATAGACTGCAGATCATCTGCAGCTCCCCCAGCAGGAGCAGAGGCCACATCCTGCCCTAACCTGGGCACCAGAGAAGAGCCTGGTGCTGCTCAGGTCACACCAAACACTGACCAGATGGTCTTTGTTGCTCCCACAGGTTTTTGATCCCCTGAGGTTTTCTCCAGAGAAGTCAGCACAGAGGCACTCCCATGCTTTCCTGCCTTTCTCTGCTGGATCCAGGTGAGATCCTTCATCCCTCTCCTTCCTCTCAGGCTGCCTTGCATGTGAGACCTAGCTCAGATGTGAGCTCCTAGGGCCAATCCCCCCTCAGTCTCCACAAGTCAGGCTGGCTTGGCCAACTCAAGCAGGCTTTCCATAACAGCATCTCCTCTAATAGGATTTCTGTGCTCCATCAGCTCTGTGGTCACTGTAGGATTTCACACATTTTTTCCTGTAGCTTTGTGGAGATGTTTAGATTTTCTGTTGCCTGCATTGGGAACACCAGTCCCTTGTTTTAGAGTGCCTCAAAGCCAAGGGGGCCAAGTCTCCATGGGTCCATGCTGTATCAATAGACAGATGTAGGATTACTGAGGTCTCAGTAACTTGCAAGAGGATCACCTCACAGAGCCAGAAATGTCCTTTTGGAAGTGTCTGGGCTTTTAACTGGCTCCTGGCCGCACTTCCTAGTGAAGCAAACCCCTGTTCTCTCAGTCTCATAACTTTCTTCAATGTTTAATAATAAAAAATAATAAAAATAAATACATTATTAAATTTATTTAATAATAAAATAACTAAATTTCTTTTTAAAATAAAATAAATATTTAATAACAAAAAATTAATAAAATAAATAAAGCAATTTAATAAATAGATAATAAAAATAAATGAATAAATATTTATTTTAATAATGAAATAAAATTAATTAATAATAAAATAAAATAAATGCATCAGGGGCTTACTAGATAAGCTGTAGTGTTATCCTCACAGGAGCTGGAGGTGCCCCAGCTCTCACATGGGGTAAGTCCAGCTTGGGGGTGGCTGGGGACAAAGGCAGCAATCAGAATATGTGTCCCCTCCCTGCAGGAACTGCATTGGGCAGCAGTTTGCCATGAATGAGCTGAAGGTGGCCCTGGCCTTGACCCTGCAGCGCTTCGAGCTCTACCCAGACCCATCCAAGCTTCCCATAATGATACCACAGATTGTCCTCAGGTCCAGCAATGGGATACACCTGCATTTGAAGAAGGTCATCTGATCCCACAGGGTACCATGGCAGGGAGGCAAGAGCTCTCCCAAGGGACACCCTCCACCCAGAGGTTTAAGAGGAGATCCCCAAACAGACCCACAGTGGAGCTCTCCCACATTAACCCCTGTCCTACTATCATCCAGAGGGGCTCGCTGAGCCCACGAACACCAAACCCAGCAGGTTCAGTTCCCCTCCTTGCCAGGGGAGCAGCACTGCTAAGGGGGTTCCACAGCATTGCTGTGGCTCATCTTTCACCTCCAGGAGCATCCTCCCTGTCCTGCTCATCTCCTCATCTCCAACCGGCCCTCACACACTCCCTGACAGGACTGCTGTCCCCTGCCTGTAGATTTGTCCCATTGTCAGCTCCTCACTGGGCTTGGCAGTGACCAACACCCAGCCTGGTTTGCAGGGATGCCTAAGGCCTGGGCACAGCCCCTGCCCTGCCTCCAGCCTGGGTGTGCCAGGCCAGGAGGGCCCTCCCTGCATCCCCACACCTCCCTCCCAACAATTCCTGCTCTGGGGCTGGCACTGTGCCCACCATTATGGAAGTGAATGCTTGTGGTTCTTTTCTGCACCAGCTCTGAACTTCCTTGAGCTGAGGGTGCTCAGGAGCCAGCACAGCCAGCTAACCTGAGGACACACTTGGCATACTGGAAACAGTGTGGTCAGCATTGTTCTCCTCTCTGAAATTAAAATAAAGCCTTGTGGGGATGAGCTCCAAGCGTGACTTTGGCTTCCTTTGCATGTGGGAGCCCAGCAAGGCACAAGAGGAGGCCCAGCAGGCCAGAGGCAAGGCTGTGCACTGCTGTCAGTGCTTTCCCAAGCCACAAGCAGTGTTTCTATGCACCCTGTTGAGCCTGTTTCCACAGATCCCACACCATCCATCACCTCACCTGTGACTCCAGGCATTTCCAGTAAGGAAACAACTGAAATGATCTGTGCTCAAACAAAGTAAAACAGAAATACCACAAAACTGCTGGTGGTAAGAACAAAGTCGGCTTGCAAAATAAAACAAGAAGAGATGTGAGTCTGCCTCAAACCCTGCCCTCCTGCAGAGGCTGAGAACTGACTGCTCAGTTCCAGGGTGGCCCAAGGGGTGCAGGTGAGCACTGGAATTGGGTTTGTTGTGGGCGTACAGGGAGCCTTTCCCCAGCACCAGTCCAGGTGTGGGACTGTGGGTGAGCTACAGGCCCAGGGTGTGCAATGGATCAGTAGGTGGCAGTGGGAGACACAGAAAAATCCTCCCTGGTCCCTGGCAAAACCCCCAGGCCTGGCAGGCAGCAGGGCCAGGCCCAGCAAGGCAGAGGATGTGTCCTGTCCCTGTCCCCACCCTCAGCAGAGCAGACACTCTGTCAGAGTCCCCCATGTGTCTGGGCATTACCCAGAGCCCAGGGGAAGTTTGTCACTGTGAGGGCTCAGGCACTCAGCGGGCAGCAGGGGACACTGAGGTACCAAGGCCTGCATGGGTGCCATGACACTGAGACAGACAAGGCTGTGCAGCTTTCACCCCAAACACTGGCATCACCAACACATCCAAACCATGTCTCTCTGCCTGTCTGTCTGCCTGAGCAGCTCTCTGCTGATGGCCAGATCAGACAAACCTGAGCATCTCCCCATCTACTGAACTCCTGCAGCCCTCCTGCTCCCCATCTCTGCTGCTGCTGCATCCTCAGTTGGAGAAACAAAACTCTCCTCAGGCTGGATCCAGACCTTTGTTTTGGCTGTGTGGGTACCAAAAGGGACAGGAATGCTCAGTTTAACCAGCAAGGTGCAGCTTGTGTTTATTGTGCAAAGCAGCTGAGGACCGAGTTCCTCTTCTCCCAGCCCTCCTCTTCTCACCCTCAGAGGGAGGCTGGGGGCAGGTTGTGCAGATGGCAGTGCCACCATCCTGGAAACCCTGGTGGATTCAGGTCTGAAAGGCCAGACTCCTGCTGTCCTCCTCCCCAGCTCCAGCACAGCCAGGCCTTCAGAGGGCAGTGGTTTAAAAATACTTTTTGCTACTGAAAAATCTTATTTGTCAGGCATTTCAGCCACCCACCTGGGAAGAGGCAAACCACCTTGAAGCTCTGCTCATGTACTCTCCAGCAGGTGGTCCAAGAAACGAGCTTTGGGTGTCCTTGGCCTCAAAGACCCATCCCAGTCTCCTTGGTAGTGGGTTCCAAAAGAAACCTGGTGACACTTAGAGGTGTCACTTCAGCATCTCCTAGTTTGGGAATTGGAATTAGGACTCCCAGCTGCTGCCCACCTCCTGGACTGTACAGTGCCCTGTGTTTTGGGGCCATCACCCTATTCACTGCCATGACCAAAGCTGCCCATTTGGTTTCCAAGTGTCCTTCTGATTGCTGGATTGTTATGAATGGCCAAACCCCAACCATTTCCAGCAGAGACTTTCTCCAGGGAAACTGCTCTTGGTAATCTGCTTGGGAGAGAGAGGAGAAACTGCTGGCATTTTTGATGCAAAAATGGATTGTTATTCCAGGCAGCTGTGACAGTAATTGAGGCAAGCAGAGCCAAACACTTTAAAATCTCTTCCTGTTAAGAATCATGCTTAAACCAGGTTTGCAGTTTGAAGGGCCAAAGTTTTTGAGGGAAGATCTCACAGCACCAATGCACCGTGAAGCCCTAATGCAGCAAGAGAGAACTCTTCCAGTTTTCAGCTTAGCCAGGTCAAACTGAGCAGCACAAACATCCCCCCACCTTCAAACGGTGGCAGTTTCTGGACAGCAGCTTGTACAAGATAACCTCCTCTGCCAAGGCAGCCCCAAAGGGCTGGGAGAGCAGCCGAGGAGCTGTGTGAGGAGCGGGGCAGCAGGCAGTGACACTGATCTAATCGCTCATTTGCCCCAGTATCTCCCTGGCAGGCAGTGACATTTCTGCGCTGTCTCAGCTCGCTCCTCCGTCACCATGGCTACAGCAGCCACCAATCCAGGGCGAGCCCTTCCCGAGTACCACAAACCCTCTGGGAGATGCTGGCAGAGACAGCCCCTTTGGCACGGAGACACCTCGGGGACCCCGGGACAATCCACAGCACCAAAAATTTCCCTTTTCCTTTTTTCCCTTCTCCTTTTCATTTTCTCTTTTTTTTTTTTTTCCTTTTTTTTTTTTTTTTTTTTTTTCTTTTTGAAGCACAAACAATGGAGCTAAAAGGTTGGGTATCAGGCTGATAATCATGAATGACGTGTCGTTATTACACACCACACATCCATTATCTCCCACTCCAGCCATGTCACAGGCGGCTGGAGGAGGGCAGATAACGGGGTGCCTTCATGCAGATGGCTTATTATCAGGATGTTCCAGGAGGGGCTTTAAGACAGTTAGTGATGCTGTTTGCCAGTTAAAGATTAGAGACCCCAGAGAATAATTAACAATCCCAAAACCCAGTTTTTCTGCTGGATTCTTCAGCTTTCTCCCCCCTCCCCCATCCTCTTTAATCTATTCACTCTAGCAGGTGTAATAAAGTGATAAGGACAGGCTCGGGGGATGTTTGTTTGGCTACTTCGGGTGCATAAACCAACAATGGATGGCATTTTTCTTCTGGCTTTCAGTGGCTTGAATCGAGACCAAAAACTTTGCAGCCCCCTTGCCCACACACAGCCACCCCTCCACGCTGTGCTCCTGGATCCCACCTGGGCGGCTGGGATTCTTCCCCACCCAAAGGACCACGGGGGTGGGAAAGGCTCCCTTTTTTCCTCTGGAGATCCAAATCACACCTCCTGGGTGTCAAGGTGCCCAAGGCCAGGATATAAACCCCAGGTTTGCTCAGGTGCAGGGATAGAGCTGCTTGCAGCAGCAGTTTACCTGAATACAGCAAATCTGTAATTAAACTACCTTGGGATAATTTATGCCATAGGTGTCCACCTATACCTGAATACAGCAAATCTGTAATTAAACCACCTTGGGATAATTTATGTCATAGGTGTCCACCTGCCCAAACTGCTCCAGTTACAGCTGAAACATCTCAAGCCCTCATAGCTAGAGAGCCTCAGGAGAGATTGGGGAAGCATCAGAGTAAAAGTGGCTTCCAACAAGATATCTCATTATCTGAGGTTCCAAGAGATGGGTTGCACCCTCCTAGGTCCCAAAGAAAGGTCATTATACACCTTGTAAATAAGTGGGGATGCAAAAACCCCCACCCTGAATATCTTCTGCTCCTGTCAGCAGCAGAACACAACCCTGGACATCTTCCTGAAGCCCAAGGCTTCAGAGATAATGGCATGATAGAATGGGGGGTAGGATGGAGAACTCGTGGTGTCCTTACCCTTCACTGGTGGGCGTGGGGAGGCTTGTGAGGGACACCTACATCCCCCTGTGCTGTGTGGACAGAGTTGTTGGGGAGGATTTGGCCCTTGGGCAAGTTGGCTTAGGGCCCTTCAGAGAGCTCTGGGAGGCTGTGGGAGGTGCTCCTCACCTGGGGATCTCAAGTACAGCCTGGACTCTGGAGGACATTCCCCAGCTCATGGGGGCTGTGTAGAAGGCATGAGCACTGGAACACCAGAAGTTGTCTTCCCAATCACGCTCATCCTGCCAGGGAGGGATGAGACAGCATTGTGCCTTAAAGAGCATCCCGACCCTATCAGCAAGAGATGAGATATCCTAATTATGGCAGTACAGACGAGGATCTGGGCTGTATCAGCCAGCACAGAAAGGTAAACAAGAAATATAACAATGGACCCTTAACACTCATTAGCTGTGTCAGATAATACCTCACTTTTCTCCCTTTGGGGCTTAAAATCTAATTAAGATTTTCCAACAATAAATTTCATTTATGCTCGCTCCCTTTTGTTCTTTTTAGGATCACACCGAGAAGCGTCTGCGAGCGACTGCTCAGCTCGAGGGAAGGCAGCTTCAGTCAGCCTCGGCTTCTGCTTCACACAGATAGGGGAAACTGAGGCAGGACAGCACCCTGGGCCGTGCAGAGGTGAGATCCTGCTAGGACATAGCACTGGCCCCTGCACAGGGTGCTTACCCCAGGGAAGTGAACTCCAAAGGAGCACTGGCTGTGATAAGACCAAGCAGGGAAGCTCCTGGGCAAGCCCAGCAGTGAAGCCTTGTCCTTGCTCAGACTCACAGCCATGCCAGGGGTCCGTGGGGAAAGGGACACTGAGACTGAGACCCCCTGAGCACACCTGCACTCCAACCCTCATCCAGGCATTGCAGGGTGAGCAGCTCAGGCATCTGTCACACATTCACTGTGTACACAGGGCAGGGAATGAACTCCTGTTGTTACTCATTATAAGGATGACATTGTTCAGTTCTTTTGCAACTGACAGGTAAAAAATTAATGGGTTCCCTTCCTCTTGCCACACCCCCAGCCCAAGTGCTGACAGGGCAGGAAGAGGCAATGACTAACCCTCAAGCCCTGCTGAGAGCAGCAGTACCGCTGAACCTTGGGGAGCTTGGTTTGCTCCAAACCCACGTGATGTTTGGCACCTGTGAGAGGAGAGTCAGGGAGCAGCATCCATCAGGACAGAGCTGGGGTGCTCCAGGCCCAGCCTGGGGCTGGCTCAGCCTCCAGCTACCCAAGGGAGGGTGGAAGATGGCAACAGCTCTGACGTGATGGTGGGGATGCAGCCATCCTGCCCTCATATCTGAGGGCTTGACCCCTCTAACCCTTCTGCCTGTTTTCTTCTACTCCCATTCAATTTCTCAACAGGAGCTGTGATTTCTCAATGCCAAGGCTTTGAGGGCATTTTCAAAATACTCACCTACCTCAGGCTATAGGGAAAATACCTTTTGAGGTGGGGCACCTGTTACTGGAAGACACTTGCCTGAAATTTTGTGTTTCCTCTTGCTAGGGGCATGAGCAGCTTCAGCTGTGGGGAGTGCACAGCAGAGCCCTAGAAACACCTCACTCCCAGGGGCTGCCAAAAATGCCCTCTTATAAACCTCCCCCCCAGTGCTGCTCCAGCTGGGCTGCCCTTGGTTGCAGAGTCCTTCTTCACTGGTCAGGAAGAGGACCCTTCATGCCACTGGAGTAACTCATGCTCCAGGAATGACCAAAGCATCAGAGGCCTCTCATTTCAATCTTCAAATGCCACAGCTTAGAAACACTTGTTGCTGCCATGGTGGCCCTGGCACTGCCCCCACCACAGCAAAAGGCAGGCCCTGGTTAATGAGCAGCCTGGCAGGAGCAGGTTGCACCATGGCCAGCTGCCCCAGGACAGCCAGCACTGGCCAGAGTGGCCCCCAGCCACTTCCTGGCAGCAGTGATCAATGGACAGCCTCCAGCCTGGAAATGGCTCCCAGTTGGCTGTAGAGCTGCACACTGGGGTCAGTGGGATTCAGGGAATGCTGCCTTTCACCCATTAAGCAGCACTGAGAAGTGCTAGATCATTTCTGTGGCTCAGTAACCCCACCTGGCAAATGGAGGGGAATGATGCTCTCACTGCCCTGTAAATCCCTTTGAGGCTCTGGGGCAGTCCAAATGCTGAGCATTCCCTGATGTCCTTCATTCTCCCAACTGCCTGAAGGCTGGGAGAGCTGTGGGATGCCAGAAAGTCCTTTGGCTGATTAGCAGAACGACCCTCTTTGCTGTCATAGGCAACAACTCTCTTTATTGCTCACCGGGAAGATATGTACAGAGGGGGAGGTTTGTTCTGACATTAAAATGCATGGTGTAGGTCATAAAAAGGAGGGTGAACTGGGGAGAAAAGAGCAGGTTTTCCTTCAGCAGCTCCCTGGAGGGCAGCTGGGAGTGTGGGGATGTCCCAGGCACCCAGCAGGATCCCCTCTGCGTCTTGAACAGGTCAACACCCTCCTGGGACTTGGGACAACCAGGCAGGGTGACCTCCAGGCAGGAGAGGTGGCACCTCCAGACCTCTCCTGGGGACTGATACCCATGTGGACACCAGCCCAAGGGGGACAAGAGCATGTCCCATAGGTGGAAAAGGAGAAGATGAGGAGGTGGTGGTGCTGTGGAGAGGCCAGGGCCCCTCAGTCCCAGGGATGGCAGTGCAGAGGGTCTCTGTGGAAATGCCCATCGCAGCAGCGGGAGTGGATCGAGGGCAGAGGAGGGTGGTGGGTGGGTGGGTGCTGCTACATGGCCGTGGTGATCACCCTCTCCTCAGGCTCCACAGTGTTCTCGTAGGCATGCTGGTTCTCTTTGGACCTGCACCAAGAGGGACAAGTGCAATGATGAGCTCAGTCCCAACACCAGCATCCCCAAAGCCACCACTGGTGTCCTGACCCTGCTGGTGCCAGCTGTGCTCTGAGTGAGGGGTGAGATGGGGACCACAGGAGGGGTCACCCTGAAAGGACCAGAGCCAAGTGTGGGGTGGGAACTGCTCTAATTGTTAGTGAGGGCTGTTTTGGCTGTCACCATCCATGTGGTGACTGGTGGTCACTTTTGGTGGTTTCCTCTGTTGGAAAGCTGTGACATAGCACAAGAAAAATGGCGTAGCAGGTTGTGAGGTGCTGGATGGATTGTGGGGCTCATCTGCAGGGATAGGGAGAGATGAGGGAGAAGGGGATACTCCCTCATTGCCTTGGGCTTAGCCCCTGGAAAGGCAAAAAGCCCCAGAAATAGGTGCATGGGACGTGTAGGACCCTGAGTGGGTGAGACCACAGCTCTGCATGTCTGAGCTGTCCCCAGGGAAACAGAACAGAACCTGGGGGCCAAGGGGAAGAAGTCTGAGCAGGTTCTTCACCTGAAGTCAGCTGCAGCTGATACATATCTCCCTTCATGGCCATTGGACGTGACAGCATCTGGCTTGTCCTCCACACTCACCACGTTCTCAGCACTTTCCCTGCAGGGAGGGAAGAGAGGAGTTTGCAGGAGCAGCAAAGGAGCCATGCAGGGGAGCAGCCCCTTACTGCTGGTGACACCACAGAGACAATAAACGACCTGGATGTGATTCTGTCCTCACACACCCTGCTCTGCCTCTTTCCCAGCAGAAGGACAAGGAAGAACACCCTCCCTGCAGGTTGGCAGAGGCTGTGCCAAGTGCCAGCCCTGCCTCTGCAGCAGTGACTCCCAGCACCGTGCTGGCAGTCAGTGGGACTCATTGTCAATACGTGGGATTGTTTCCTCCTGCTGACTGGTTTTTCCAGTCTACTTCTGTGTAATCTGTTACAAAACAGTCCCTGTGGATCTCGATGGACACAGAGAGAGCAGTCAGGCTCCTCTGGTGCCTCAGGCCTGGCACAGGAGGGCTGTCCTTGTGCACATCCATGTGAGCAAAGCAGAGATGCTCTCTCTCAACAGTGAGCCTGGATGGCTTGGAGAAGGGGCCACTGGGCAGGATGGGGTGTTTGGAGCCAGAGTCCAAAAGCTCTGGAGTGAGCTGTAGCCTGAGCAGCCCTGGGGGATTTAGCAGCAGAGGGTGGCTGCAGGTCCACCCTACATGCATGGCCCTGCCTCCTCCAGCACTTGCCCAAGGGCAATTTCAGAGGCTTTTCTGAGGAACAGGCTGGCATAAAGGCCCTGCCTCCTCCAGCACTTGCCCAAGGGCAATTCAAGAGGTTTTTCCAAGGAACAGGCTGAGACAAACAGGCAGTGGCTCGAGCTGATAGCTGCTGTCACAGTGACAGCACAGAGCTGGCAGGGCTCCAGGCTGCCGAGCCTCGCCGCTGCTCTTCTGAAGAAAGGCCAGATTAATTAAAACAAGGCACCTTGCCTCCTCAAGCCCTGCTCAGCATCCTCTGCCTCCAGGCTGGGAAAAGGCAGCCAGGCACAGGCAGCAGTGGGAAACACCACCCCTGCCTGCCACTCCGTGGGCTGGGGGCTCCTTCAGTGTGAGGACAAAGGTTCCTCTTGGGAAACAAAGACCACAGGGGCAACTCAGACCATATAAATATATATATACACACGTTGTATCGTGCATTGGCCCAGAATGCATCCCAAAGGGGTCTGCTTAAAACTTCTCTGGGGCTAAAGCTGATCTGCTGATGCTCGGAGTATAAGCCGGGTACTCACCTCCCCAGCCTGGAGAGGCTGCAGGAACATACAGGAGCAAGGAGACCCCAGCCTAAAGCAACCCCACCAGTGCAGAGGAACTGGGAAACAGATGTGGGTGCTTTTGGTCTTCATCCCCTGTTGCCTTTGGGCTCAGGTTCAGGATCAGGTTACTGCAACTTAGCCAGCTGGCCTTGCTCACTGAGCAGGAGCAGCAGCCTGTGACTCTGCTTGGCCAAGGCGGGAGTTAACCCATACCACAGAGCCTTTTTCAGATGAATAAAGACACCACATTTGCCTCTGCCATGGGCTCCAGGTGGAGGGTACTGCCAGTGCCACTACCTCCCTTTTTCCCCAGCTCCTCTCAGTGTGTTCTCACAACTTGGCTCTGTCTGCTTTGCAAAAAAAGCTGGCTCAGGCTTGTTATCCCATGGATATAAGGCACATGGGAGCTGCACCCCCAAAAGCCACAGAAAACTAGGCTGGGCCAGGTCCCTGGACACATTCCCATGTGATCCAGCCACGATGCCACAGCTTTGCCATTCCCAGCCGAGTGCTTTCTTTCCTCATGGCAGCATTTGTATGGTGCAAGCTCCCACCTGGCAATCAGTAACAGGGATCAGAGACCAGGACAGGGACACAAGGACAGGGAGATGAGGACAGGGAGTCTTTGCTCTCCCAGCCCATCTCCAGCACAGCAAGCACGGTGTTCCCAATGCTGGCACAGCACAGAGGCTGCTGGAAGGGACACGTGCAGCTCAGCCCAGCTCAGAGCCACCCCCCACACTTACACTTTGTCCTTACACCAGAACCTGTTGACCACGAAAGCGATGGCCACCAGGACTAGGAACACAACCACTGCGATGACGCCCTGTGACCACGGCTGGAGGCTGCCCCGGGCTGCAGGGAGAGAACAGGATATGGTTAGAAATTCATCCTCAGCCTCATCTGCCCAGCTCATCCCATCCAGCTTCGGCAAGCCACACATGAGAGCTTGATCCTGGAAATCTGAGCAGAATGTTGGTGTGGGTTCAGGCAGGCTCACCTGGGTGATAGCAATGAAATAAAGTATAATTAACAGAGTTTTCACTGGTGTTTGCGTGTGGAGTGTGGTGCCTGGCAGCTCTGGGGTCTCATATACACTGACATCCACATACAAATATATAAACATGCACCTTGGGGGCTGGTGACCCTGTGCTGGGGGAGAAAAGCCTGGGGGACATGGAGGAAGGGAGAGAAGGAGAATGTTTGCCAAAGAAAGGCAGAGGGGTTTCAGCAAACTGCTTATTCTGTCCCCAGATGCCACAGACACCATTCCTGGGATATTTTCCAAATACTGACCGGTAAAATAAGGATTCCATAACATGGAGAGTGTAAGATTTGGTTGCCACTCCCACAGCAAAAAGTTGTCATTGTGAATTTTGGTAAAATGCACCATCTAACAAATTTCTGGAGCAGCAAATGATTCATGACAGAAATGGAAGGCTGAGGCATTCAGAGGAATAACCTCAGCACAAGGAAAAGGAGGGGCTGGCGGGGGCACAAGCAGCATTGGGGTGGAGAGTGGGGGTCTGGGAGCTGGCTGGGATTGCCCCATTTCCCCCAGGGATGTAACAGACTGACAGATTCATTCTTCTCTATCCAGACCTAAGCAGGAATCCAGCCATGGGTGGGAAGGCTGTGAGACACATTCCTGGATGTGGGCAGGATGCAATGGCAAGCAGTGAGAGGAGAAAACCTTGTCCCAGCCCTTGCTCCTTGCCTCCCACTGGATTTTGGACAATGGAGCATTGAAAGTAGCCAAACCCATCCTTAAGTGTCATACATCAGCACTAAAGGACACCTTGTCCACACAGACTTTGAGATTTAATTACCATTTACTCAGCCCCAGCTTTTCCTCACCTGCTGATCAAAGCAGCAACCCCTGCACCTGCCCTGGTCCCTCTGCAGGGGCAGCTGGGGCAGGTGCAGGGTGACACCTGCCAGCCCCAGCAGCAGCCTCAGGACACTCAGACCCAGCCAGGGACACTGCAAGGCTGAGCTGCCCCAGGATGAGCAGTGGATGCTTCAGTCTCCCTCAGGAACTCTACACTGAGCACTTCCTCTGTCTCACAGGAGACAACCTCTGCTATAAACAGAAAATAATCTTTACTAGCAGTAGTAAGAGTAGGCTGCGTGCTCCACACGCGCCAACTCCTAACCCACAGACAGATTCACACTGGCTCTGCTGCTAACAGCTCTCCTCTCCTCCCTCTGATTCTGGGGAGGGAGACTGTCCTTTGGTAGCATCCCTAGCTCCCAGAGTCTTTACTACAAGAGACTTCAATTTAAAAAATAATAAATAAAAAACCAGCAAACCTCAACCCCCAAAACACAGCTCTTTTTTTCCTCTTGGGAGTGCAATCAGTCTGGCCAGCTGAGTCACCAGCAGTGCCAGTCTGGAGAGCAGTGGCACTGCTGGGCAAGGGGCTGTGAGAACAGCCCTGAGTAGCATCTCTCATTCCCCTCTCCCCACAGAGACATTTGATGTGTTTCTGCAAGGTCCCAGGGCAGAAACTCAAGCAGGAGGAGCTCAGACAGAAATTCCCTCTTGTATCAGTGTGTTTCTGCTGAAATACCACTGGATCAGCAGGCTGCCAGGGGTGGTGACAGTGGGGAAGCGCAGGGCTCAGTCCCCTCCTGTCCTACCTGGTGGTCCAGGATGCTCCTGCCCTGCTGCCCACCATGCCTGTGAGTGCAGCCCCAAACACACCTATTGCTGGCTGAATTTCGGCTCCCTTTGCATCCTCCCTCACTCTGCCCTTGGCTGCTGGCCACATTTATTTATTAGTTGTGGTTTATTTTTCCTGCCAGACCCAGGGTTTCCAGCCTAAGCCTGGTGGGGGTGGAGGAATGGTCAGGTCCAGCCCTTTGTGAGGTTCCTGCTGGGGTTAAGGGAGTTCAAGGGCAGCCAGGGAATGAAGTCAGCAATGACTTAAACTGCCAGATTTGCATCTCGTGATCTTCCAGGAAAGAAGGGGGAGAGAAAAGTGGTAGCTTCTCCTTGGAGCAATGCTCAGGAGGTACTGGATGGTTTTGCCAGTGAAATCTCACTCCTGTGGCTGCTTCCACCAGATTCCAGAGGATACAAAGGCAAAAGGGAAAACACCAAACCAAAATCAAGGGTTTCTGGCTTTGAGAGATGGTGTAGGGCCTGGCTGCAGGGGGAGATAAGGATGGTAGGGGAATGGCAAATGCCTCTGCATTGGGCTGAAGTACCCGCTTGCAGGGAAACTTGCACGGGCATAAGAAAGGAGGAATGGGGATCAGGCAGGAGCAAGAGCTTGATAGGATCTATTCAGGGAGTAAAAGTTCGGGTCCCAGCCCTCCCTCGGGGGCACAGTCCCACCAGCAGCACACCTTGCTGCCCTGCCAGGAGGGATGGCTGAAAGGATGAGTCTCACCTGTGGAAACAGGGCTGTGTTCCCGGAAAAATGCCTCACCGGGGATGCCCCTCCTGGGCCAGCCTGTCTCTCGGGCTCTGCCACCTCCTCTCTGTGTTTCCCCGTGGTAATAATGGGGTTTTCCCCCACAAACACGATCTCTAAAGCCAAGCTAAGCAGTGTGGAATCTGCAGCCCTGGCAGATGTGTCTCCTCACATCTGCAGCTACAAACCAGACCAAGGGAAGTGCCGGTGCCAAAATAAACTTGTGCACTTGTTGCAATTCCATTTCCACACTCAACAGCTCATTTGAAGACACAGACCTGCTTTTTAATACATCTTCTCTGAGTATGTGGAAAGCTTTGGCTGGCCTGTCTTTTCTGCTGTCTAAGGAAGCTGTGCCAGGATAGGAATCCTCATTAAAGGATTTTTTTTTCTTTACTCTTTCCAAGCAAAACTTTCAACCCTGCTGACAATGGACACTCCAGACTGTTCAATTGTCGGCAAGCTGGTAAACAAACACAGGAAGAGCGGTCAGGGCTGGGGCATCAGGAGGAGAAAGAGGGAGGGAATTTTCCGGGACTTTGGCAGCACCAGATGAGTTTTAATTACTCCTCATTATTCCTAGCACTAGAGAAGCCCTTCGTGATTTTCCTAAAAATAATACCCTAGCACAGGAAGTTTCTCTGTTAAGTCTTTGGGAAGAGAAGAGGAGGTCAATTTGCTGAGGAAAATATTTGCTCCCTCTCCTCAGCAATGATCAAAATTACAGATTAACAGGAGGATCAGAGAGCTCAGGGAGCAACCCAGAACAACACTTGCTCAAGGATAAGAGTGAGAAAAAAAGAAAGAAAGAAAAAAAAATCCTTAAGAAAACACATTGCTCATCTCAGTGCACAGTCCCGCCAGAGGTAAAGCAGAGCAGTTTATCTCTGTGCAAGCACCTCAGATAAACCTCAGGTGGCAGTTCTGCAAAACAGGTAGAAAGTCTCTATATCCCAGCTCCAGCAAAACCTCACAGACACCCACCCATCCACAGCTAAGCTCAGAAGTGGGGATGAATTTTCCCTCTCCAAGACGCAGGGATGCATTTTCCCTCCCCAAGACGCAAGGATGAATTTTCCCTCCCCAAGACGCAGGGATGAATTTTCCCTCCCCTAGCCCTGTTGTCCCTTGTCCCCCACCAGCAGCTCTCATCTGCCCGGGGCTCGCTGCCTTTCCCGGGATGTCGGGCCCTTACCTTGCTGGCAGAAGGCGGCTGGCAGCTGCAGGAGCAGCCCCAGGAGCAGCAGGCAGCGGGTGGGCATGGTGGCAGCGGGGCCGGGCTGTGCAGGGAGAGACGGGCACGGAGCAGGGCACGGAGAGCTGAGCAGGGAGAGCAGGGCAGGGACAGCAGGGCACGGAGAGCAGGGCAGGGAGAGCCGGGAAAGCAGAGCAGGGCAGGGAGAGCAGAGCAGGAGACCCAGGCACAGAGCAGGGCAGGGAGAGCCGGGCACGAAGCCGGGCAAGGAGAGGCGAGCAGGCAGAGCTGGGAACGGAGAGCCGGGCACGGAGAGCCGGGCACAGAGCCCTGCCGCAGGAATGAGCTCCTGGTCAATTATCAAACGCCCCGAGGAGGAAGGCCGATGCTCTCACCTGGTTATTCAAATCCTGCTGCGGGAAGGAGGCGCCTCTTCGCCCTGTCCCGCCGGAGCCGCAGGGGAATTCGGGGCGCGGTGACTTGAACCTGACAGTCCCCTTAGGTGGGGCGTGGGAGGCAGCTCAGGCACAAAACATTTGCATCGGCTCAGGAGGGAAAAAATGAGACCCAGGTGGGTAAAACTGTTCCCCTGTGAAGAGGAGCGTGGTGGCCCCCATTCCCCTCCCCACAGGAGGAGAACAGGGCAATGCCCCTGCAAGAACAGCCCAGCAATGCCCCAGCTCTGACACCCCTTCCCACCCTGTGGGACCCCCACTCACCTCCCTGCTTTTTCTTTTCAACAAGGGTCACTAATAACCCAGAAAAACACATTTGTGACTCTAAACCATCCAATTAATAGAGCAGATTCTGTGCTGGGTGCTGCCTCTCACCTCCCACACCTTGTTTAATGGGGACACTATTAAGCAGAGCAGCCTTCATTTTATTGAGTCATCAGGGCTGGCCCCAAAATTTCTTCAATACCAGAAGAGGTAGAAACAGCCAAAGAGCTGCAGCAGGCCTCAAGGCCTGTCCTTCACAAAAGCTGTACAAATGCTGCAGGGCAGAGAAAGCTGCAGGTCCCGAGTTAAGCAGTTTCCCAGCCCATGTCAGGTTTGGATGACTGGCAAACCCACCCCACAGGAAGAATAAAAGATATTTGGCTTCACAGCTGAGAAACTTCAGTTGCTCCTGAAGGAAATTTTAAGTTGTGAGCCAAGGATTCCATTGTCACACTTCTTGTGAGGTGTCACAGCATCTTTGAAACCCCACAGCAGCATCTGAGTCCCAGGCCTCTGGGTCTGTTGATTTCCATTCCAGGGACCCTGCCTGGGTGCTCCAAATAACACTTTATCCCCTGGGACCCATGTTCAGGAATGTGCAGCACCCTCAGAATGCTCACCCACTGGAAGTGGACTGCCCTTCTTCACCTCAACTCTTTACCCTATATTTACAATAATACCATTTATCCTGAAGACAAAGCTGATCTGACTTTGAGCTGTACAAGATTGAAGGCCAGTTCCCAGCTCTTTCCCAAATTCCTTTCCATGGTCAGGCCCAGCTGCAGTGTGGGATAACCCCACTGCCAGCCCCACAAATTTTTGCTTGCAAAATCAGTGGGGCAGGGACTTTCCACTCCAGCAAGGAAGTGTCACAACAAGGCCCCATTATTAGGCCCTGTAAAACCATCTGATCATGTCACAGAGGAAAAGGAATGGCTTGTGAATGAGTCAAAATGAGAGTGAACTTTGGGTTCCCCAAGACCTGGGGAAAGCCAGGGGGAAAGCGTGCAGAGCTCTCCATCTTTGCTGCCTGCCTGTTGCTTTTCTCTGCAAAAACCCAGCAAAGGCAGCCTGGCTGTTTGGAGCAGAGGGCTTTATCAGCAGATCAGAAGTCCTGGAGGAGCTGGTCCTGCTGCTGCCCCCAGGAAATTCAAGGTCTGGGACATTCTGCTGCTGCTGTCCACTCCCTGCCACGCCTGGGGCTGGCTCCTTGGGTTCCTCCTCCATATTCTGGGTTGTGCAATCACCCGAAGGCTCTGCAGAGCACAGCTCCAGGGACTTGGGGTGATTTCCCAAAGACAGGGAGGTCTCAACGATCCATCCAAGTGCTATGGTGACAGGAGATGACAGGCCAAGCCCTGGGATTAAGGCAGGGCTTTGTGCCTTTCATACAGTGGTCTTGCTGTCAGCTCCATCCTGAGGAGCAAATAATACTTTACCAATTGCATGTTCCCACATTTTTATGACGTTTAAGACAAGTCAATGATTTTTGGCTCACTGATGAGGCCAAGGAATCACTCAGTGCTTATCTCAAAGCTCCAAAGCACATTTAGCCATTAGGAAGGAAGGTGCCTCTGTGACAAAGCTCCCCTGGCACCTCCTTGGTTGCATATCCCTGGGTCTGGCCTGGGGGGATGAGAAGCTGCAAGTCACTGTAGCAGCCTCACTGCAGGGGCAAAGTCTGACATTTCAACAAATTATTTGCCAGCCAGGTTTTCCTTTTGGCATCCTGGCTGTGGCTTGGGAACTGCAATGACAAATAACTGTGTGTTTCTGCTGCTGGCTGATGGAAATCGTGCTGTCTGTCTCATTTAAGTCTCCAGCAAAACCCAGCCACGGTGAGGCAAAGCCCTACAGGTCCATTTTAGTGCTGAGGGAAACTGAGGCACAGAAGGACAAATCCCCCTGGCAGCATTTGGGCAAAGCCAAGTGGAGCCAGAGCCAGCTCAATGCTCTTTCAAGGGCCCACGTGAGCAGTGGCCTGTACAACAGATTTTACACAAAGCAGGGATTGGAATTTCAGGCTTTACACTCATATACTCCAAAAATTGATGATTATTTCCCCTAAAAAATACATAACTTTTAGGAAAAATTAATATTTGCTCAAAGCAAAGTTCCTGGATGATACATCTCAAAGCACAGATGCCTCTTTGAAAAACATTGTGGGACTCTGTGTTTTAATGGAAATCGTTTTCTTTCTTCTTCACCTCCTTCACTTCCTTCCTTCCTCCCTCCTTCCTTCCCTTTTTCATCCTCTCCATTTCCTCCCTGTCTCCCAGACAAAGCCATAAAAATAAAAAATACTATAGAACAGCAAACCTGAACATTCCCTAAAGAAGATTGTGGTTTTTCATAGAAAAGTAATTACAAATTTATTACATTTCAATAGTTGTTATAAACATAAAAAACCCACAAAACAAAAAAAAAAAGAAAAAAAACCAAACCAAAAAATCCCAAACACAAATCAAATGTAAAATTTCTTGTTTCTTTTGACATCTACCATCCAAACCAAATATTCTCTGCTTGTGCCAGGGATCTCCCATTTCCCATTGACACTTTTCTTTCAAATCCTGCCTGCTCTGGATGCTGCCAGGAGAGAGCCAGGAGCTACAACCACTGTGAAAAGGGCATTTTCTTGGCTCAGTGTGCCACTGTGGGTAAAAGGCAGCAGAAAAAGCCAGCTCCTGCTCTGGGTTTTCATCTATCACAGCTCTGTACCCCCCTTCTCCACTTTAAAAACGCCTTCAGACTGCCATGTATTTTCTTATTTATGTGTATTTTCTTATTTATGTAGAACACCCCAGTGCCAATGGCTTGGCAAAGGCATCCATGGCCTTCCGTTGCCCTTAAGGTTTGCTCAGCAGCCCCTCTGTGGCCCATGGGTGTTTCATGGGACATTCTGGGTGAGGTTTTTTACACCAGCTGATTTTGGGGTGGATCTCTGGGCAGTGTTCACTCCCTCCATTCCCTGTGCTGCTGCTCCTCCATCCAAGGGCAGCTCTGGGGTCTCTCCCCTGTCCCCCCTGAGCTCCCTGCTCCTCTGTCCCTGCCATCAGGAGCTGCCAGGCCTCTGACAGCACCTTCACATCAGCCTCAGGCCCCAGAACCTTGGAAAATCAGGCTGAGAAAACACCCACATGATCCACCCTGCCTGGGAGGGCCGGGAGGAATCAAACCAAAAACCCCTGCCGCAAGAAGAAACCGTACCTGCCTCTGCTTTGCCTTACTGCCTCTGTGATTCCCCCTGGCTGCTCCACCTGCTCAGAGGGAATTCTGCACCCCTAATCACCTCTGAGCACGGGGGGAAGCGCTGCTGTGCTGCTGGAGTGGCAGATAGCAAGGTTCCCAATGCTCAGGGAGGGAGAAAGGAGCTGACTTTGCTCTGGATATTCCCTCCTGCCCAGGGATATCGAATGGAATGAATAATTCGCTATCCGATCATCTCTAATCTTCATCCCATAAAATCAGCAGCAAGCTGGGAGGGTTTTGAAGCCTCCAGCTGCATTTGCTGATAAGACATGAGGCAGGAAAGATTGGGAGCCCATAAAAATGATAATCTCAGGCTTCAGTGTAACTTGGTGGAAGGGTTTTCTCCTGTCCTTTCATTAAGGATGGATTTCATGATCTCCCTTAAATAACAACAAGCCTCCTCACGAGGAATCTCCTGCCTGAAAACTGATTGCATCGTCATTAGGAAATAGGAGACCAAGAAGCCACGAGAAAATAGATGGAGCACAGCTGAGCTCCAGGCTAAGGAAAAGAGGGAATTGGAAGTGATTTCTGAGCACAGAGAGGATCTTCAGGCATTGGGGCTCTGCCTAGGAGAGTCAGGCACTGGCACTGTGTCAAGCTGCTGGGCACAAGCCTGATGTGAGCCTGGATGTGGAGCAAAGCCTCCTCTTCCTCGTCTTGCACCTCCTTGCCATGAAGAGAAACATCATTTCCCATTTCAGTGTGATTTGATACAGCATCCTCTACACCAGCCCCAAATTCAGTGGATCTGGAGAGAAGGGAAAGGGAAAAACTCACCTCAGCAACTATTTACATGTGAATCTCAACTATGATGGATGAAAGGAGGAGAAGGGAAAGATGGCTGGTCTGGTGAGGGTGGAAAGTTTCAGGAAATAATTACCTCAGATGCCAGAAAATTAGGAAAAAATAGAGAAAAAATAGGAGAAAATTAAAAGTGTAAACTATAATCAGATGTTAAATTGCTTTTCTTCAGCTAATTGAAATAATGTTTTCTCTGCTACCCACCACTCTACCCCTTTCAGATGCTAATCCCTATCAAACATGGACTTACAATTACAAATTCATAGGCATTTTTCCCAGGAGCAGAAATTGCTTTGCCCTGTAACCTCTAATATGAGGTCTTAATAGGAATTCACAAGCAGGCTCTGGTAAAGCTTCATTAGCTGGAGAGAATAGACAAGGGCAAGTTGCAGTGCTCCCTAACCACTCTAGGGAAAAATTAATTTAAATTACTTTGTAAAGTAACAAGGCCAGATAATGTGTTTCCTTCTTGGATTATTGTTTTCCAGCACCCTAATATGGGGGCAGATTAGGTTACTTTGTCTGTCTTGATGGTGGTCCGTGCTAAATTGTGATTTATGGAGTGCAGAAGCCTTTGGAAACACTGACCCCTTGGGCCAGGGCTGGATGGGGTTGGGACCTGGCAGGATCTCACCAGGATGTTGGAGAGCAGGGGAAGCATCTCCAGCACAACTTCCACACAGCCTGGGAGAGAATCTCAGCTATTAAAGGTGGCACTGCAGCCTTTCCCTGGCTGGAAACCAATCCAAGAGTCCTGCAGCTTTGGGGCAGCTTTAGATTTGTTTCTTGGAGGCCATATCCTAAGCAATGCTGACTTCTGTGTTTCCAAGGGCTGGATCAGCATGGAAAACCTCTTCCAGAGGTCCCTCAGCAAAGTTGCTGCATGGAACTGATTCCCAGCCACTAAAATGTGCTGAAAATCAAGCCTGCAGCTCCAGGAGGGGGAGGCTGTGGTTTCATACACCCCTTGCCAAGCCCTCCCAAAAAGAGCCATAATTCTCTTGCCGTGGCACCAGGCTGGGTGCTCTTCACGCTGGTGTGGGTTTATGGAGCTTTGCAGAGAGCCAAGCAGGGGGAGATGGGGTGGTGATAAAGTCTTGGCAGAGGGGCTGGGACTCCTCTCAGCAGCCTGGGCACTGCCAGCTCCAGGCATTTTTCACCTGAGCCTTGTCACACAGAATGGGCCAGGCTGGCTGAACCCTCGGGGACTGAGCATCATTCAGCAGGAGACAAAGAGTGCAAAGGGCCTTGGGCAACAGACAGCACAGATCATCTCACTGATTAAATAGGTTCCCAGCTGATATGGGAGTCCTGGGAGACCAGCCTGAAGCTGGGAGGATTTATGGACAGCTACCTGAATTGGAGAGGGAATGTATTGATTTTATTGCTGGCATCTGAGGGGATCGCTGCTGTTTCTCAGAGCAAAGAAGGCTGGTGAAAGATGCATTGAGACAGAAGGGTGGATAGGTAGGTAGAGGGAACCAGGGACAGAAATCTAAACCATCTAATAATTTTCTTGTCCCCACTTACCTGGGGGAAGATAAAAACCCCCTGGCACTACTTTCTGTCATTCTCCCATCCAAAACAAGACTATAACCCCCAAGGATGCAGTTTAATACCATCCCAGCTTCCGCAGTCACTTGAATTTTTTCTCCCCATCAGCCACCCATTGCTGTCCAAGCTCTGACAAATTCTGGACCACCTTTGCTGCTGACAAGCCCTGTGTTTGGTATCTCTCAGCACAATTAATGTGCTTTTGAGTCTTCTTAACTTTGCTGTCTCACAACAGGCAGGACCAAGCATCCTGGAACCTAGAGGAGCACCAGGAAAGGCCAGGTCCATGATTGGGATGACCCTGCATGACTGTCCAGGTCCCCAAGGGTAGAGAAGAGCCTGCATTCAGTAGGGCACCCCTGCTCAGCACCACCTGGGGAAGGTGATTTCCTTCATCCCCACATCCTCACTGGGAAAAAGAAAAGACCCTGGGCAGAGGGAGGAGCATCCCCAATACAGGAAACCATCCTAAATATCCTTGAACTTTGAGCATCAACCAGAGCCCTGCCAGCAGGCACCAGCCCTATTTCCATGGCCAGCAGCAGAGGCAGCAGGTTTTCAGGTGCATCTCTCTCCTCTTCCCTCTCAGAACCAGGGCAAAAACCTGGAATGTGAAGGGGAAAAAAATAACGGGGCCATGGGCAGTAAGTGAAATGAACCTAATAACCTCCACTTCTTTTCAACGAGCTCCAGTTGTTGCTTTACAAGTGTACTCCAACCCTGGCGAGTGCCACACAAAAGCTCCCCTCTCCTTCTCCCTGCCTGTTAAACAGCCTTTTCATTTCAGCGAGCTGCATCTGCTGGGTGGCAGCCGCGATTACCATAACACAAGGGTAGGATTTGGCCGGAACGCTCCCCCCTCGACTCTACAACGGGCGGGAGCCTTGGGCTAGCAGGAAAATAAAATGAAAAATAAAGGGCAGGGGGAAAAAAGACTGAATGCATGAAGTCACTTTTCTGGCTGCCAACCAAGCAAACAGATGCAGGTAATGGAGGAGAGGGGGAAATCGTCCTCGTCTCCTCAGAGCGGTGACTTCTGCTGCTGGGAAAGGGAATGGAAGGGACATGGAAAGGCCAGAGGGATTTCATGTGAGAGACCTGAAAAAGGCATTTCTCAGGGTATTTCGAAGTTAGAAGAGCTTTTTGGGAAGCTTAACCCATTCCTGAAGCTTTGGAGGCTGCAGGCCCCCTCAGGATGCTGCTGCAGACACTCTGAGTACCCTGTGATGGGCACAGGGATCCAGGGCTCCTGCAGGAGACACAGGATTGATGGGGAAGGGCTGAACAATGCCGAACAGTGCCGATGTGCCACAGCAGCTCAGAACAGGCTCCTCTCGGAACCAGCCCTGAACAGGTTTTGAGGACAAAAGGTGAAGACCCCTGGGAGATGCCTTTGCCTGGGACTGAGGAGAACAGGTTGTTTCCAGGACTGGCGGGACTCAGTAATTAGCAGGGCATCAGCACAGCCACTGGGGAGTGTGAGTCTTCACAGGGTCCCCTCACCTCTGCTGAAATCCCAGAAGAATTGGCTGCCTGCGCTCCTCTGGCAGAGCCAACAGGGAGCTGCTGACCACAGGCACAGAACCCCCTGCCCTCACATTCCAGGGAATGGGAACCTGCAGAGAGCACTGAGACCCCCAGAGCCTGGCCGAGCTGGGGGAACAGCAGGTGTCCAAAGCTGTCTCTCTGCCTTTCTACCCCAGAATACAAAATTCTGCGGGAAAATAGCTGCAGTGTTCAGATACAGCGCGTTTAACACAGCGATCATCACGGGAAGACCTGTGGAGGGTGAAGAGGGGAAAAGGAGAGGGAGGAATGGAGAAGGGGAGGAGCAGAGAAAGGGAGGATGGGAAAGGACAGTCTGTAACACACTTTATTTGTAAAACATGATGAACATTAAACCCCGTTATGAGCAAACCGCGGGGCGGGCGCGGCGCTCCCGCGGGGCCGCTCGGGGCGGGGGGCGGCGCCCTCTGGCGGCAACGCCGGGGGCGGCAGGGAGGGACCGCTACGGTTCGGAACCGCCCCGGTTCTGCTGCGGTTCTGCTCCGCTTCGGAACCGCCCCGGTTCTGCTGCGGCTGCGGCTCCGCTTCGGAACCACCCCGGTTCTGCTCCGCTTCCGAACGGCCCCGGTTCTGCTGCGGTTCTGCTGCGCTTCGGAACCGCCCCGGCTCCGCTCCGGCAGCTTCGGAACCGCCCCGGTTCTGCTGCGGCTGCGGCTCCGCTTCGGAACCGCCTCGGTTCTGTTCCAGCCGCGGCTCGGCTTCGGAACGGCCCCGGTTCCGCTCCGGCTGCAGCTCCGCTTCGGAACCGCCCCGGCCGCGGCTCCGCTTCGGAGCTGCTCCGGCTGCGCTCCGGTTCCGCGGCGGCTCGGCCCGGCCCCGCGGCGGGAGGCGCCGGGGCTGCGGTGCGATTGATGTTCCGTTTATCTGCGAGCGGGGCTTCCCCCAGGCCTGTTCAAAGCAGGCGCCCGCCCGGAGGAGGCGGCCCGGGGAGCGCAACCCCGCCCGGGCTCGGTGGGGGCTCGGGTGGGACCCGCGGGTGGGACTCCCACTCGGGGCAGTGGGACAGCCCCGGGGGCTCCTGCTGGAGAGCGGAGCAGCGGGCAGGGCGCTGGTGCTGTGACATTGTCCCCGCAGGAGGGGACAGACACCCTCCCGCTCACACCGCCTTTCTGCCTTCTGTATGGGTGTAGGGCCTTATCCCCATCCCGCGGCACCTGCACGCAGCGATAGAGGGGAGCAGCTCGGAGTAGCATGGGGCCAGCTGCAGGGTGGTCCCAGGGATGGGCAGGGAGCCGAGATAGGAGCAACGGCTGCCCCGGCTCAGCTCAGCCTTCCTGCGCCCTGGAAATACCCCAGAAAACATCCATACCTGCCTTGGGTGGTTTGGTGCCACCTGACGCAGAAAGGAAAAAAAACAGCTCAGGGTTTGCAAGCATGAGGCAGGGAGCAGCCTGTGAGTGATTTGTGCTGATGGCAGCCAAAAGCAAAGCCACCCTGGAGTTTTGTGTGGTGGGGACAACAAGCAGGGCAGCGTTGTCCCTGTGCAAGGGGGGACACGTGTGAGCACGTCATGGGCTTGGGTTGCTCAAGGACACGTGCAGGACTGTATGTCCACATCCATCCAAATGTGTGTTTAGGACTGCCCACAAATGTGCATCCATGGGTGCACCCACAGGAATGGAACGTGCAAGAAGGAATGTTTGTGTTGGTGCACCATTACAGAGCAAGAGCATTCCTGAGCAGGTCAGTGCACACCCACCTGTCCTGGGCATGGACAGGTATTTGTGGGGTGTGTGTTTGTCACTCCCTGTCACACAGGTGGCTGTGCTGATGTGTCACTGCCAACCCACCTCAGCGATGTCCCACACTGGAGCCTCACCCAGGCTTGTTCCTCACCCTGGCCCAGCACAAACAGGGCACCAGTTCACCAACAGCAACCCTGGCAAGCACAGAGATTTCCCCACCTGAAGCAGGTGCTTGCCACCCACAGCATCCACAGTGGCACACTGCTGACCCCATCCAGGACACTCCTGCCAGCTTCCAGCTCCCCTTCCAGTGCCATTCCTGGGGATGGAGCAGGCTGGATGCTCACAGCAGTGGTGCTGCAATGCTGGATGGTGGCAAGACACAACTGGGACGGTGTGGATGTGTTTTGTTTCAGCTACAGCAGCGTGTGAAGGGATATTTCACAGCCAGCAAAGTGCTCTGGAGATGGGACAGCTGCTGAAAGCATCCTCTGTCTCCCAATCCCCCAGGCAGCCTTGGACAGGCCGTAGGTGAGACCACAGCTGGACCCTTCAGACATGCAGGATGGCTTCACCTCTGGTTTCTGTGGGCTCTGGGTAAGCCCTGACAGCAGGGTCCTGCCTCAGGGGTTGTGCTGCAGGTGCTGACAGTGGTGGAAGCAGAACAGCTGCAGGCTTGGACACGTTCCCTTCCCTTCCCTGGCCTTTGGCCATCTTCCCAGATGTACATCTGGAGTGGGACACTGCTGTTCCCAGTCACAAACACGGGGTGAGCGGGGCGTGCAGGCAGCACGATTCCCTAGCCACTCTAGGCTGGATGCTTGGTGTTTTTGGAGCCTTTCACTCCTGACAAGCCCAGCTCCCTGTCCCACATCAGGAAGGAGCACGGCTTGACAGCCCCTCACACAAAGACCTGCCGGTTCATTTCACAAGGTGCAGCCAGGGTGCTCTGCCATGCCTTTCCTGACAGCCTTGAGCGTGCCCTCAAACCTCTCCTAGCCCAGCCAAGCAGTCACCTCCTTCCCTTCCTTCCAGCACTCCTTGAGCTGCACAGCCCAGCAGAAATCCACCCGCACTCAGGAGTGCTGCCCCACCACAGCTCTGCCGGCCCCTGTGCCAAAATCCCCTTGCTGCAGGGCCCATTGCCACCTCGGCACGGCCGGATCACGCTGGTGCCATGCGGGATTTGCCCGAGGGATGGGCGGGAGAGGAGCCCCCGGGCCCCCCAGGTGCTGCCGGCCGGGCTCACATCAAAGCGCCGGGGCTTCACCCGCTCCAGACGCTCCCTCCCATTTCCTGCTGGATTCCCTGTGCCCGCATCAGCAAAACAGAGTGTAAAAATAGAGACTGGGCTTCACCAAAACACAATGGCAAATTGTTCCCCGGAAAGGTCACTGGGGAGGCTGAGAATAGCTCCAAGAGCAAGGGAAAAGGAATGTCTACCGGGGGGACAAGTCTGAAAGTGCGTGCTGGAGCCACCCCGGGAGGTTTCCTGCATCCTCATCAGTGGTGCACGTCCCCGCTGCTGCCCCTGTGGTCTCAAAGCATCCTCATCCTCTCCCATCCCAGTTTTGCGATGGAAAATAAAAAAATAAAAATTAAAAAAACAGGAGAGCGAGTAATAAGGTGAAAGGAGAGGCAGGAGGACCAGAGAGAAAAAACAGGACTGGGAGGAGAGAGAGGATGCTGCTCGCTGCTCATCTCCGTGTGACAGCGCCGTGTCCCCTGGGCACCACCGGCCGGCTGCGGCCTTTGTGTGGCGCTGGGAATGTCAGGGATGAGCCTCGGGATGGAGGGCATCCCGAGCAGTCCCAGAGAGCCATCAATTACTCCCTCCTGTTGTCACCTCGCCTGTCACAGCGAAGAGGAGGAGCTTTCTCATGGGCTGCCGGGGTGGGAATGTTTGGGTGCTGCCGTTTCCGTGAGCATTTTTGATTCAATTATGTGGGAATGCGCCTAATGAAGCAGGTCCCTGCTCCTGGCCTCGGCTGTGTTCCCAGTGCCAGGCTGTCCTCAACGTGGCTTTGCCAGAAAGGCCATAATTAAAAACATATAATGAGGCTGGGGAATAGTAGCTGCCCGAATTTGGAGTGATTTTTGGGGCTTTGTGTTTCTTCTTTCATCATTTTGGGTATATGCAATCCTCCCACCTTCTCTCTGGTTTTTAATTCAATTTTATCTCAATGTCAAGTCCTGCTGTTCTCACTCCCCAGCGTCATCCATGCCCTTGTAAGGGAAATTTCCTGCCACTGGAAGCCTGAATGTCACTCAGTTCCTGGAGCACATGACAAAACTGGATGAACAAAACACCTTTAAATGCATCTGTTTCAAGTTTGTGAAGAAACTGGATATTTCTGGTTTCTTTCTGTGAAGAAACTGTTATTTGCCAGAATATTTCCTGCCCCACGGACCAGAACCCCCGTCACCTTGTGGTGCCAGCAGTGAGAGATGGGCCCCAGCACTGTCCCAGCTGAGGGCAATGCCACCCATGGCACCCAGGCTGTTTCCCTTCCATGCAGGGGCAACCAGGACCTCAGGGTGCTTTCCCCAGCTTTCTTTTCTGTTTTGCATGAACAGAAAAAAAACTGGGTTGGGTTGCGGGTTTTTTCCCCATATATTTGAATCCACAGAGCATTGCACATCACCCTTTGCAACATAACATGACTGTAGAAAGAAATTACCATTTGGTGAGAAATGAATTAAATTTTGGAAGACAAGAATGGGAAGGGCTTTAAAAAATTACTTAAAAAAAACACCAAAAACACAAAGGCAGGTGAATGTCTGCTGCCTTCTCTGACATTTGCATTCTGGTGGCCAAGCAGCACCAAGGTCCAGATGCTCACGAGAAAAAGATGATGGAAGAAAGATGCTTCTTCCAGCATGGCCAGCACGAAGCCACCACCTGAGGACACAGCCCTGGAGCCTGTCCCAGCAGAGCAGCACCCAGGGTGTCCCCACCACCAGGGTCAATCAGGAGTGATGCACATTGACCATCCCACCATGGAGCAGGTGGGGCTGGAAGCCTCTCAGCCCCTTCCATAGGTTATGGAACCTATAAATGTGCACAGAGTTGCTTGAAGCCTTCACCCTGAAGGTGGTTTTCCCTTAAGGATGCTTTTTCCTTTGCTGGTTGCAAAATACTTGTGGCTATCAATGATATTTTACTTGAAGAAAGCAAAATAACAGGAGGGGGAGGTGAAGGGAGAATTGTCCAGGCAATGGAAGGAGGGAGGGAGAGGGGCAGGAGGTGGGAGGCAGAGATAACCAGTGGGTGAGCTATCAGCTCCTGCTGGGCTGGCAGCACAACAGGAGACAGGGGTTAACCCAGATGTGCAGCCATGATCTCCCAGCTCCAGATAAGCACCCAGCAGCCTCACACTGCCCACACCTGCCCCACGCCTTGTCCCAGAGCCTGGCATGGAACCAGCCCAGGCCCTGGCTCCGGGGCTCTGCTCAGCCTGGCTGTGAGGGGACACCCCCATGTCCCTCCTGGAAAACTTAAAAGCAAGTGTTGACTCCCAGGCTAATGGGGAGATGAAGTTAGCAGTGAAACTTTTGTGGAGAGGCTTTAAAAAAGCAAGGGATGCTTTATAAGGTTTGTTTAAATAGGCAACAATCTGTAATTCATAGAAATTAAAGTCAAGAAAATACTTGTGGTACCATTCCTGCTCATCTGCTCTGTGCTCAGTGTGTTGTCAGCCACCATCAGCAACATGGTGCTGTATACATATATAAATAGATATATATAAATACATATATATATAAAAAAATACATATCTATAAAAATATATATATTATAGGTATATTTTATATATGTATAAGATATATATACAGATAGATAGATACATATATATGTATCTATATATATACATACATATATTTTAAAACACACACACATACATACATATATATATAAATTTATTTTTATATATATGTGTCTCTCTCTATATATATATATTTTAAAACACACACATGTTCAGTGAACTGCTTAGCCTTAAACACTGTCAAATTAGTGCTGTATATTTTTAAAAGCACTTATGCACGTGGCTGTGATAATTTCTCCCCTAAAAAAGAGGAATTACTCTCACTGCCTGTTAAACCATGGCCGAACGCCTGCCCTGGCGCAAAGGGAAGTGGCGTGGCCCCCAGCAGCCCCTTCCTTGCGCAGCCAGCCTGGCCAGAGGAAGGGAAAAGGCCGCGGGAGCCTTTGGGGGACCCGCCAGTGGCAGCTGGCTGAGGAGGGGTGGCTGGTAACGCTCCTGCCGCGGGCATTGCTTCATCGCCCGCCTTCCTTCCTGCCAGCTCTTCCCCCGCCCAGGCTGGACCGTGTGAGTCCAGCAAGCAAAAAAAAACATAATTAGCAGATCCTTCTGCAACGTTTTTTCGTTTTTTGCTGCCTGTTCATGTCTTTGGTTGGTAGGGAGTGTGCCACCCCAGCATCTTCACCCCACGGCGTTCAGGGATGGAGCTCCAAACTAATGATGGATTCGAGGGATGAGGTGGGACAGAGGCAGACAGCGAGTGGAGGCTGCTTTGTAAAACTTTATTTAGAAATATTCTTGATATATTCATTATATATATATATTTATATGTACACACACATTACAACAAATGTGTTTTCTAAATAGCACGTCCACAGTGGGTTGAGACTCAGGGTACCAGGTCTGGTTACTTCATTTCTGCAGAAAAAATGCAGAAATCCAAGGGGGGGGGGGGGGGGGGGGGGGCTGCAAGAGGAAGGGATGGGGCTGAAAAAACCAAAATCCGTAAGGCAGGAATTCACTCACACGGTACGACACTGCCCCAGGGCGCTGCTCCCGACAGGAATGGAGATGATGGGCCACAGAGCGAGAGGTGAAGCAGGCAGGAGGAGAGGTGGGCAGAGGAAATGTACCATTCAAATCACAATTAAAGTACAACTGTACATGCCCCGGGGACCTGCGGCACTCCCTGCTCGGTGCCTGGGGGTGTTTGGGGTGCTGACAAGGTTGTACCATTTCCCCAAGTGTGCAGCTCCCCAGAAGACACAGACAGGAAGCAATGGGTTTGTGTGGAATGAGGGGTTTCTGAGGGTGAATTATTTTATTTTCTCGCGTCAGGTTAATAACAAGGGTTTAAAACCCCCACATTCCCACCCAGGGTTATTTGGGAACCAGGAGCGGCTTTACCTGTGTGACAGCACCCCCCCTACTCCCCTCTCACCCCGAGGGCACCCTGGCAGCCCCCTGCTTGTCTCTCCTAGCCCTGGCACCAGTACCAGTCCAACCTCTCCCTCAGCATCGCCTCCTCACCCCCAGCACCTTCCCTGGTCCCCCCTCTAGTAAAAAAACCCTGCACAGGCAACCCAGACCCAAGAGTTTTCCCCAATTCAGGATGGGGGAGATTGGTGCTTTCCAAAAATTTGGGTGCTATGCTGGAAATCCTTGCATGGGCCAGGATCCCTTCCCAGGCAACTAATTCTGCCTAACATGCCAAGCCACATGCCAGACTCTTCGCTATTATTTACAAAGAGGCATCAAAACCAAGCAGGGATGGAAATGACAGGGCTCTGGATTAAGCCTGGATGGGCTTGCAGACACCCACTCAAATTCCCTGTGTTCCCTTGTACCTCAGCATCCTTGGGAAGGCACGAGTGTGGTGGAAGGTGTCCCCACTCAGAGAGATTTATTCCCTTCCAAAGGAGGTTTGTGTGTGGGTTTGGGGTTTTTTTCCTGCTGTATCATGGTAGGGATTTCTGTGCCCTGACATGTGTGCAGAGGGACAGGATGGGTTTGGGGCAGTTGCTCCATCAGGCTCAGGAGATGGGCTGGTGAGAGGGGGCCTGATGCAGCAGGGGTGGCACAGTGTGGCTCTCAGCTCCCACTGCAGCAGCAGCAGCCTCCTGCTCCCCTGCTCTCCCGCTTCCCAAACGTCCTCCTGGGGGGCAGCAGGGCCAGGGGATCAGCCAAGTCACAGAGATCAGCTTTGCAGCAATTTTATCACTCAGGAGTGCAGGCTAATCCCACCACTCTTTTACTGCTTCCCCCAAGATTCAGAGAGGCTGTGGACTCCCACCAGCCTCAACAGGAAAGGACCTTCCTATGACCAGAATAAATCCAGCACTATTGTCCACACTGTGGGCATTGGCACAGCTGAACCACCATTTCACAAAATAAAACCAAAAAATTCAAAGCATACCATCAAAAAACCTTTTTATAACCCTATGTACACGCACGCTGTTGATACATCATTGACTCTTTTTGCCCTTTTTTCTTTTTTGCTTTTCTGAATTTAAAAATCCCCCAGTCCAAAGAGATACTTCACTAGAAAATATTTTCTTCCTTTACCAACTCTGAAATTCATCTTTCTGGAGAGAAGCTCTGGCCCCACAGAAACCACTGGAAAAACCCTAGGAGACCACAGCAGGCTTGAAATTCACCTGCTGAGTGTAACCAGCAGAAGGATCAGGGACTGGGAGGGTGGCAGAAAATACCTATGTACCTTTTCATTCATGGATACTGCATGACAGTGTTAAACGGAAGTAATCCCACATCATAAATACAACAAGCCCAAACAATCCAAAATCAGATAGAAGAGAAAGGAAGAAAGGGAAGGGAAAAAACAAAAAGAAAGAAAGAAAAAGGAGAGAAAAAGAAATAGTCTAAATCCTTTTAATAGTTCTTTTGCTGAGGGTATTTTTTCACCTCTTTAAAAAGATACAGTCAAAAGCTCTCGGACAGCAGGAATATGTGGCCAAGCTCCTGCTCAGACCAGCTGGATGTGCTCAGGCTGGAGGAGCGCTGCAGCACTGGCGTGATGCAGCAGTTTCCAGCACCACGTGGAGCTGGAAAGCGCCGGCGGCCTCCGCGGGCAGAGGAAGAGGAGTTCCATGCCTCACCCAGATGGATGTTTGCAAAGAGACGCTCACCAAGCGGTCTGGGAACCCTCCAAACGCTGGAGAGGCGCCAGCCACGTCTCCTTCCCCTCCTCAGAGTCCCATCCCCAGCAGTTCTGTACAATGAAGACGACCTCAACGCTTCTCTCCTCCGTACGGTCGCGTACCTAAACCCCCAACGTTCATCTGGGCTGGGCTGGTCCTCAGCCAGCGCGGGCAGAGCGAGCTCCCGGGGAAAGGCAGAGTCACAAATCCCACAGGCACAAGTTCCAGCAGCTGCACAGGCCCGGCCTGTCCCCCGTGGCCCTCGGGGAGCAGCGTGGGGGTCATCACCGCTGCGCGTTGCCTTCTACGGGGAGGATGGCGTGGTGCAGGCTGCGCGTGTGCTTCGAGTCCAGCGCCTCGTGCTCTTCCGTGAAGCTGTCCGGGCTCGCCGCCCCGTCCAGAGAGCTGCCACAGCTCGAGTTGGGGGACAGCATGTCCTGCAGGAGGTCTTCCTGGACTATCCCCGAGTCTTTGCTCACCTTGCCCCTTTGGTTTCCTTCTTCCTCCTGGTCGTTGAGCAGCTTGGCCAGGAAGTTGATGTATTTCATGGCCAGGCGCAGGATCTCGTTCTTGCTGAGCTTCTTGTCGGGCGGGTGGGTGGGGATGAGCTTGCGCAGCTCCGCGAAGGCCCCGTTGACGTTCTGCTGCCTCCACCTCTCCCGGCTGTTGGTGAAGATGCGACGAACCACCTTCGTGTGAGGGCCTGCAATGCCAACCACGCACAATTAGGAGCTGGGTTCAACACGTATTACTTTGCAGAATAGGTCACTGCTTTGCAAATTAACTAACTCACTAATTGTAGTGAGGTTTAATCAGCAAGGCAGTGAAACAAGAGTTTCCAGCTAAGTGGAATCTGACCCCATGAGCTGAGAAAGCCGTAACTTCTGTTCAATCCAATGGAAGGGGAAAAATGGAGTTGCATGTCTTTGAATGTCTCCTCAGATATCGAAATTTACCTCTCCAAGGAAGAAGGCTTAGACCATGATATGTGTGCAGAAGGCTGCTATAATTTTAGGGTATCTCAACTCATCAACAAGGGAAACTCAGCAACAATGGTCCTATCAAAAGTTTATCTCACTAGACATTTTATTTTCAATCCCAAAAATTGTCTAAAGGACACACCATTGGGACGGGGGGAAATCAGCTTGAGCAGAGGTTCTGACAACTCTGAGATCCAGAGGTCTTCCCTGCTGAGAGAGACCAGGGGGTTGGAGCAGCCTCTGAATGAAATGGGGTAGTGGGATTTGTCCCATAGCAATGAGGACAGGTAGGAAATGACCACACTGACCACAGAGTGGAGGCAGTGTCCTGCTGGAAGAGTGATCACTGTTTGGAACAGATTCACAGCTGACCTGAGGGCTGCCTGCTCTCTGTCATCACTGCCACAGGGCAAAAACTCCCTCTGACACTGATTTGAGAAGGGACTCCAAATTTCTGGAGGTGTCCATTTGACCTTACTACATGTGACCTCCAATTACACCTTGAAATTTTACATCCATGTTTCTGAGAGGGGATGCTACACAGGATGAAGGCACAAAGCACACCAATTCTCCTTTCAGCACATCAGGGCACCTCCTGGTGTGCATGAGAAAAGCTTTGTCTCTGTGCTAGGAGAGACCCAAAAGCACATCTGCTGAAAAACACTGTTCTGCAGGAGCAGCAGTGCTGTAAATCAGGATTGCAGGTCCTGGGGTCCATGGAAACCAGCTCACGTGAGGCAACACTACCACAAGATGGTTTTATTATTACATCCTTCCCATCATCTCCTCCAGGAGACATCAACAATGGAAGGTCACATCAATCTCATGAAAATCTGGAAGAATGACCAGGGCAGAAACTCCCATGGGATAGGAAGCATCACATACAATGAAAAATCACCACAGAGTGGGAAGCAAAGCCTTGCAGGTTACATATTGGTGAGATTTACCCCAAAGGACCATGGAATTCCCATTCCCCCATCTCTGTCCTGTATTCCCCACTCTGTCACACCTGCCTAACCTCTCCCTCCTGGTGGGAGCAAGTCCCTGGCCTTGGTGAGCAGTTCAAGCCACAGTTCCGACAGCACACAGCGGAACCAGCCCCCCAGGGCACATTTAAACACCTTTATTATTTTCTACCAAAACTTTTGGCTGCCTTGGCTGTGGCACAGGAACCAAACAGGTGGGACTTTTTATGAGTATGCTGGGCAGGCTGTACCTCAGCAAATCCCACCCTGCACAACAGGAGAAGTGGAATCCCTCATTCCAGCCGATCAGATACCATCAGATACCATCGTGCTTTCCTTTCTTTGGGGGAAGCTGGGTCCCTGCAGCCCAGCACAGCCCTCAGAACCCCCTGCCCTGCAGGGTTTGCATGGGAACACACACTCAATCAGCCAGTTAAAGCATGCTAGCTTCTCCAGTGTGTGAGCAGCCTCACAACTCACTCCTCACGGTGTACTCAGAGCTGGGAGTCCCCTAAAGCCACAAACAGCCCCTGGGACAAGCTGGGGGATGCAGAAATGGCAAACACCTCCCTGACCTCTAGGATTCCAGTGTGATACTTTAATAAAGGCAATATTCACCCCCAAACAGCACCTAATGCCCTCGGTATGAATTTAGGTACAAGAACTCATGCAAAGGGAAGGTTTCCTGTCCCTGATGTGTGCTGTGCCGCAGGATTGTGGGGAAGGTGACAGGGACCAAAGGGATCTCAGCAGCACTGCCAATTAAGCAGTGAAGAATGTGCTACATCCTACTAAAATAATATGACATTTTTAACACTTTACTGGTACTTCCATACAAATCCCCTGCTCTTGAATCCAGAAAGAGATGGAGCTCAAAAGCTATTTACTCCCATAAGGGTATGAGAAATAACCACACCTTGGATACTGCTCATTAAAAAAAATCCTCAAGAGGCTTTCAGTCTTCAAATATGTGTTTCTGTTCACTGAAAGTTGATGACTAAAAGGCATCTATTCATAAATTGGTCAGAAATCAGGCAAAAAAAACAAAAAAAAACCAGCTGTTCATTTTCATCCAGAGGCACCCAAATCAAGCTTTAGTATATATAAAACAAATTCTGACACCAGTCAAATTCTTGATTCCTGCACCAACTGAATTAAACGTATCTTTCAGAAAGAGATCAGGCTTTGGCCAAAACATGTCAAGCAGTGGAGGAAATTAAAATGCCCCATAGCTGTGTTATAATAGAAAATCTACTTCTCATTAAAAAAAAAAAAACTTGCCTCATAATTAATTCAAGCAATCAGATGAGAATTTTTTTTGCTTGGATTTTGTTCTAACGGATTGACTGATGCTTTTCTTTTTAAATTAGAAATATGAGGGAAATTAATAAAAAGAAGATCTTCCAAAGTTCCAGGACGTACCTTTTTAGAGATACTTTTTTGCATTTTTATCTTCACTTCTGGATATTTTTAAGAAAGATATTAAATGGAAAAAAATTTCCATAAAATAGAAAAAGAACTACTGCAAAAACCTCACCACTTATTGTCTCACAGAAAAAACCACAAACACAAAGTGTCTGGGAAGACTTTCCTGCCCTTCTGCAGCCCCCAAGGGCTGAGGACCCTCGAGAGTGATGCTCCTGGATGTCACCCATCAGGTGCCCATCCCAGCAATGAGCAAAGTGCCTCAAACCACACAGGTACTTCAGCATGGGATGTGCATTCCTACAAATTATTCCTGTTTACACAACATAGTCTGATACCCTTTTTCCCCTCAAAAAAATGTTGAGTCCAATCTTGGAAATTGGACTTGAACATGAACAAGAACCTGCAGGATTGGGCCCAATCTGTACGCCTGCACCAAAACTTTATGTGTTCAAAAACTTACAACCAAGTATTTCTGTAATCCTTAATGCCTAATTTAATAGCAAGTGCAAAGCTTTAGTCAGGCACCGAGATTTGATGGACTTTTCCCCATAAATGTTAAAACCCAGACAAAAAGCCCTTCTTGCGCTGGGGCTGTAACATCCCCTGTCCCACGGGGCTGCAGTCTGAAAGGAGTGGGAGGGGAGAGGATTCTGATTGATGCCGATAATGCCCTGAGCCTGTCATTTCGGAATGCATTATTTTAGACTGATGCAGGTTATGATTTGATCTCAGATTAGCTGGGTAGAAGGGAAGGGACAGCTAGCTGGAAAGGAGGAAAATTAATTGTCCAGCAATTGAAATAAAGTGTTTCCTAAAGATAAAACGCGTTTCAGCGAATCTCGTGTGTAGGGGCTGTTAACTGCGGACATAAACAGGCCGGCCTTCCACGGGCAAATCGTTCTTGCGAGTGCCCCTTTGCGTGGGCAGAGATCCCCTTGCACACCGCAAACCTGCTGTCCGGAGCAGGCCAACCCTAAAAGGCGAGAAGGATACCCAGGTGTTGGTTTAAAGGCAGGTTATCCTTTCTGCCCAAGGCTGGGCTCTGCAGGGCGAACGCCTCCGGGCTGGAAGGGTTTTAGAGACCCAACATCTCACCACAATGGCAATGGCCCTGATCCGCACCGCAACAAAGACACGCATTTATTGTCTTCTTTCGGATTTAATCTCTAAGCAATTCGCAGAACAGGGATGTAATTAGCCACAGGCTGAGCTGGGTGCTGGGTGAAGGCAACTCGCCCAGCACGCTGCTGGGAACCGCTGTGGGCTCCGCTTACCGGAGAGCCCCCTGCCTTCCTGGGCATCCTACTCCCGTTGTACGCTTTTAGGTTTTCGTCCTTTTATTTTTTGGGTGTTTAGTCCCAGAGTGCGGCATTGTGCAGGAACTTTCCCCCCATGGCAGATAGAGGCATCCCTTCCCCTCAAAATGCGGCGCAGGGGCGAAATTCTCTCACCGTCGGTGATCTCCATCTCGTACGGAGACGGTCTCCGCTTCACCCGGTTGCTGCCGTACATGGAGAAGGAGTCGGGTTCGCCGAAAAACCCGCTGCAAAGAGAGGCGGACAGGCCGTGAGGACACACCGACATCCCCTGACCCGATGGGGCTGTCCCAGGGCGGGCGGGAAGCGGAGCTGCTCCGTGACCTCGGGGCGAGATCGCGGCTCACGAAGCCGAGCCCGGGGTCGTGCGGTGGCAGCACACGCGGCCAGCCGGGGACACGCAGCGAGAGACGCCAGCCCAGCGCGGGCAGGGGGATGTGAGCGGCGTGGGGCGTCCAGGATTGTGGATTTGGGAAAGAATCCCCCCATTCCCGGGACTTCGGGCACGCTCGGTCCCCCGATGGCAGCTTTTCCCTGGAGGCGAGGGGGGGTCTGTCCCCGCACACCCCCGGGATGGCTCAGCCCCTCTCAGAGCCTTGCTGTCCCTTCGCTCATCTGCGGGACTCGTCGGAGAACAGAGAGAGCCCGGGGAGCTCGGCAGAGCTAAACCGGTTCTCGTCCGCTTATTCCCGGACCCTTTCGCTCTTACCCAGGACTTTACGCCTCAAATTATTTTCCTTAGAGGAAGGAATTTTTCGTTTCTTTTCTGACTTTCTCCCCGCCTTTCCCCTTTCTCTCTTTGCAAAGTTTGCGTGCAAACCCGCGATGATTTTAGCGACGAGCCCCGCGCAGACGAAGGGATGCTGCTGCTCCTGCCCCCGCATCTCCACCCCGCTCCTCCCGCCGCCCCAACACCGCGCGGGACACCCCGGGACACCGCTCCGGGACGGGGATGGGGACACACGGACCTGTTGATGGTGGCCAGCGGCTGGCCCAGGTTGTAGAGCATGGCCCTGCCGGGGGGCTGCAGCGGGAGCGCGGGGGGGCTCAGCTGCACCATGCGGGCCTCGCAGGCGGCCTCGGCGGCGCGGCACGGCTCGGCTCCCGGCGCTCTCTGCATCGCCTCGCCCGCCGCCTCACGGCTTTTTATGTCCAGGGAGCCCCCCCTGCGCACCAGCTCGATGACGGGCACGGCGGCGGCGGGGGGCCCGGGGGAGGGCCGGCCCGCCTCCTTGGCCGCCCCGTTGAGCAGCAGCTGGGGGTCCGCCGGCGCCTCCATGCCCCCGCGGCTGCTCTCGGGCTCGCTCGTGGGCTCCGCTTCCGAGTCGTGCCGCCGGGCGGGGCGGGCATCGCGGGGGTCACTGGGGGGCGGCGGGGCGGGAGGCCTGTCCATCGTCCTGCGGAGAGAGGCAGCGCTCAGGGCCGGCCCCTGCGCCGGCACCGCCCGACGGGGCCCGCGCGTCGTCGGGGAGAGACGGGGGAGCTCCCGATCGCCCCAAATAACTCGGGGTTTGCTGGCGGGAGGGGGGGCGATCTGTCCGTCCACCCCGCCGAGCCGTGCGGTGCCGTGACGTCACGGGGCGCCCCGGCCCTGCCGTGACGTCACGGAGGCTGGCGGAGCGGAGCTTTGACGTCTGGCAGCGCCCCGGCCCCGCACGGTGCGGACGGGCCGGAGCCGGAGATTCACAGCGGCACCGACGGGCAGCGCCCGAGGGTGCGGGTTAAATTGTGCGGCCAAATTGTGCGGCCAAATTACGGCGGAGGCCCAGCACCCATCCCCGCTTTTCTGGGGGTATTTCTCCCCGTTTTGGGGTCCCCCACACCCGTTTCGGCGGTGCTCGCTGCCCTGCGGAGCCAGCCCGGTCACCGCCCGGCCTGCCGGTAGCGGCCTCAGCCTCACGGACGGCCCCTTCTCCGCCCATGGTTATTTTTTATTGTTATTTATAAACTATCGAAATATACCCGAAACCACTTTTTGGGGGAGAGGGGGTTAACGCAGCCCCTAACGGAGTCAATCCCCCCGCGCATTCGCTGCCGCAGGAAGGAGGAAGGGGCCCGGCCGCGGCCGCACGCACAGCATTGTCCCCCTGCTCCTACAGAACAAACGCTGTCGCGACAGGGCACCTCGCGCCTCGGGCAGATATCGCGATTATTTCTATGCTTTATCTCCCACTTATGCCCTCGTTCGTTTTTGGATATTTTTGTTGTTGTTGTTGTTTTGGTTGATTGATTATTATTTTCTTATATAAATAAGGAGCTTCGCGGAGCAGAGAGCTGCCACCCATCCTTCTCGCTCCTTTGCCTCGGGTTATTTTTTATTCCGTTTCTGATAAACTGAGTCGCGAGGAAAAAAAACCCAAAAAATAAATAAAAACAAACACAACCAAAACAAAAACCCAATTAGTTTGGTTTTGTTGTTTTTGTTTTTTTTTTTTTTTTTTGCCATATATCACTATCTCTCTGAAAAATAAAAATAATTACAACCACCCAATCTAAAGCACAAGTTCTCTGCCTTCCCTCCGGCCACCTTCCCGCCAGCCCTCTAGAAAGAAAAATCTAATTGCCTATTCCGATATTGTATAGGAAGAGATTACTCACATGTGTCATATTTAAGTAGGGACACCGCAAGTCTCTCCTGTTTCAACAAAAGCGCTCTCAGTGTCAGGCTGAATTTACTCCTCCCACCTCAAGGTACTTACGACTTTACAGAGAGGAAGGACACCCGCATCGGGATAAAACTGCTAAATCCTGGGAGGAAGAGAAGGGGGGGAGAAAAAAAAAAAAAAAAAAAGAAAGGAGAGGGTGGATCTCGTGGGTCCGGATTGCCGGAGATCAGCGGAGGGAGAAAGGTGCAGGGGAGAGGGAAGGAGGGGACGACACTCCGGGGAGGCCCCTGGGAGAGGGGACAGCGGCCACCCCCGGGTCCCCCCCCGCCGCCGCCCCCTCGCACACGGGGCCACAGCGAGCGACGGCCATGGCCTGGCGTGGAAAAATAAAAATAAACACAGAAAAAAAAGAAAAGGCGTGAAAAAAAGCGCCCTATATTTGGGGCGAATTGGGTGGTTTTTTGGACACATTGCAAGCCCTGTCTTCCCGGGAGGAAATCACAGACGGGGCCGGACACGGGGTTGTTTTTCTCCCTATGGGCTCGCACGAAGCGGCGGCGGCGTTTCTCCCACGTCCGGCTGGAAAATTTAATTCCTAAAGGGGCAAATTAAATTCCTCAAGGGGCCGGTTACCGGCCGAGGAACCAACCGAGAGAGCTCACACCGGCGGAGTGAGCCCGCTCCCCGCCGCCCGGCCACAGGAAGGTGAGGCCGGCTCGCCCCGCCAACGAAATCACCAAAAATTAGGTTTTCCCCTTCGTAAAAAAATGAATAATCCCGATGCCGTCTGTTCCCGCATTTGTTAAAAAACGAAATACGCAAAACCGCAAACATATCAGCAGAATTTTGCCTTAAATTGGGATGGTTTCGTTTAGAAAAAAATGGAGGGGGGGGCATTAAACACCCGCCCGCTGGTTTCTGCTTCGCAAAATCCTTTTGTTTTCCAGCAGCCGATCGGCAGGAAATTTCCAACCCTAAAGCGCACCTTTTCTTTGTAGGGAAATCGCCCCAAAACGAAGGGGCGGCGGGGAGCGGGGTATGGGGGTTTCGGGGAGCGGCGCTCGGGTTGTGGCCGTGGGCCGGGCCGTGTCCCGCTCTCTGTCCCTGGGGAGGGCTGGGGGAGCCGGGCTCGGGGGTCGCTTCGCCCCCAGCGCCCCCGGCCCGTCCCTCGCTGCCGCAGCCCCGGCGCCGTGGGGCGGCCGCACCCCGCGATTTCAAAGGGGAAAGCGGATTCCCCTCCACACCGACCCCGCATCAAAGAATAAAACAGATTAAAACCCAACCGCGGAAGAGATTTTGTGTTTTTTCTCGTCTCTCATGTGGGGCAGAAGCCCCCAAAAGCTCCCTCGCTGCCCTCCGGAGCCCCCCAAACCCGCATCCCGCCGCCCCCAGCGCCCAGACTCGTGCGGAGCCGATTCCTCTTTACTCACCATTTGCTTTTCATTGGGAAAAGTGAGTGGAGCCATTTTGTGGCCTACGCATCGCGGCTATATTTGTAGTAAGTGTTGGGTGGCTTCAGCTGGGTAGGCTCTAATTCCACATCACGTCCAGTTTCCTATTTAGTATGGAGAGCGGAACACTACTGCAATGTGGCCGAGAGAGATAAAACCCCAGCAGTGGCCCGCCTGCCCTGATAAGCTTCTAAACCCATTATTTATGAAATGATTCATTATTATTTGGCAATTTTATCGAAGGAAAGCGGAAAATTATTGCAGGGATATGCATAGGAATAACTCCGGAATGCATGCCTTCTAGCTTTTTATGTGTGTGTGCTTAGATGCTCTTAAAAAGACACTAAAAAAAAAAAAAAAAAAAAAAAAAAAGAAGAAGAAAAAAAAAAGTAATAAAAAATTGCACTGTGGCTGCCCGCATCTGAATAGCGATTCTTTATTTTAGTCCTCTTGGAGGTTATTATGCCCCTAGTTTGTTTTTTTTTTTCCTTTTTTTGCTGTTTTTTTTTATTATTATTATTAAATATGGAACACCTACTCCGTTCTTAATTAAATTTAATGAGCCAAAATAAATTGTTAGAGATGTTGAGAGAGGGGGAAAGGGTGTGGGCTGCTTTGGGACAAGAGGAGGTAAATAAAGCACATCGAAATGAGATGTTTTGGAGAAAACCGGCCCCAATCCCCAGCCTTCCCCCCCAGTATTGTGTATTTTTGCTGAAGGGCTGAACTGGGGCGAGCTCCCTGTCTCATCTCCCGTTCTGGGGTGGGAGGAGGCCGAGCATCCCTGCCGAGCTGGGGGATGCTGGGCACCTTGAGCGGAGCGGGTACCGAGCCGGCACCTCGAGAAATTTGGGGTGTTATTGGCGGACCCTGGAGGAGGGGGGCTTCGGGAAGGGAGAAAAGGGCCCTGGTTCGCTCCGCAGCAGTGCGGGGCATCCAGCGGGGCTGGGGATGGGCTGCGGGGTCCGGAGCTCGGGGCCGGCTGCGCGCCCCGTCGGGGCAGGGGCTCAGCCAGGTCCGGAGAGCTCCGGGCCCGGGCGGGCAGGGACCCGCGGCCAGGACACGGACCCCCGGCCTGGACACGGACCCCCGGGCTGGGCAGGGACCCCCGGGCTGGACACGGACCCCCGGTTTGGGCAGAGCCCTGTGCCCCCGGAGCGGGCGGTGCGGGGGCCGCGGTGCCCTGCGCGGCGGTCCCAAAGCGACAGGAGACGTGGAAAGCTCCCCGAAATGCCCGAGGCTCCCGGCATGGACAGGGGGAGGCAGGAGTGGCTGGAGGGTCCCAGCCCCGCTCCTCAGGGCACCCGCGGATAGCGCGGCCCCAAAGGCGGCGGCGGGGAGAGGGTTTGGAGAGCTCGGGCTCCAGGAACCCGAAAATCAACGAAATCACGGCGGGCACGGGGCGGCAGGGAAGGGGCCCGGGCTGAGCCCCTCCCGGGACACCCCCGGTGCTCTCTGCGGCCCGGCCCGGCCGCACCTGCCGTGGAGCGGGGCCGGCGGCGGGGCCGGGCCGCGGGGGTCGCCATTGTCTCCCCGCCACCTGCGCGCCCGGCTCAGGGGGAAATGCCGGAGCTGTTATTCTTCCTTTCACTCCTTCCCCTCAGCCTCCCGCTCTGGCCGCGGCCGTGGGAGAGGCTTGCACGGGCTCGGGCCGTGCCCCGGCCGCAGGAGCCCGCACGATGCCGGCGGCGGTCACGACGCGCCGGAGAGCCCGCCGTGCCTCCCGCCAGGAAACACGGCCATGCTCGAGCCGGCTCCTCTCGGCAACAGGAAGCGTTAAAGATAGAACAGCCGGGGCTGGGCGGGGGAGATTAGGAAGCCGAGCATCTTCTGAGCACCGAGGGCCATTCCCAGCCGTGCCTGGGCCCGCTGCGCTGGGAGCCGGGCCGCGCTCAGCCCAGCTCCGGCCCGCATTTTTAATTTATTGAAGAGGGATCAAACCCTTCAGTCAGGGTGGGGAGCACCGAAATGAGCCAAAGCAAAGCGGTCAGTGATGCTCTGAGCAGGCCCAGCACCTCTTCAGCTAGCACTATAAATATCGTCCCTTCATTATAATAAATAACAGCTAAAAGCAATTAAAAAACCCCAAAACCCAAATCAATAAAGCCTTAACTTTGCCCCATTAGCCATGCCTTCACCCCACAAGCCCACTCTAGAGCTTGGGCCTCAGTGCTCAGTCAACAGAGCCAGACCTGGCTTAATGTGTATTTTATTTTACCTCAAATTGCAGTGGATGCTTCAGGGGAAAAAAAAATCCAGACATCTTGAAATTACTCAGCACCATACTATGAAAGGAAAATGCTACTTAAAGGGAAGGGTGGTTTTTTTTTTTTTGTTTTGGTCCAGTAAATTAACATTTTGCTATCCAGGATTATATGCTTTGTGTAACTTACTATAACACCACACCCTTGTCCTGAGCTGTGTGCAAGTAGTTTGGCTTTTGTTTTCAGATTGTTTCTAGCCCTTGAGCATTTGAAGAAAGTCTTTAAAATATTAACCAATACAGCTGTCATCTTCCTGTGTTTCCAGACATTTTACAATAGGAAACAAAGAACAAAACCCTGCAACAATAGCTCAGAGGTATGAATTGCCTCATTCATCTCACTGGAATGTTCAAAAACATTAACTATTTTTTGACTGATTCAGCAGAAAATGTGCTGGCAGATAATAAGCTTATGTCTGATCCAGGGGAGATTCAGGGACTGAGAAAGGTTTTATTTTTCAGCACAGTAAAGTAGCACCTTTCCTGAAAGGAAGCAAATACCCTTGTTGATGGAAGAGGCTGCGTGAGAGGAGAAATTCTGGCTGAAAAGGAGCTGCTGCCTTCCTCTCTCTGTACTGCTTCAAAACAGTACATGGTTTATCTCAGCCCAATTCTGTAATAAATTAGCAATTAGTGCCCACTCAAACATACCAAGAACACTGCAGTCCTTAGGATGAGACTGGGAAAGGCCCAGGATTTGAGTAGAGGGTGTTTTGATCTCTGCTTTAACACTCAGAACAGGAAAGGCAAGGTCAGCACCAGGCTGAACTGCTGCTGAGACAATGCCATCACTAAAACAAAGTTTGTTCCAAAGCCTGTGAGAGAATGCTGATGCACCTAAAAGGCCAGTGAGAAAACACATGGCTCCACCATTATCCCACTGTCCTCCCACCAGGAATGGTGGGAATGGGAATGAATCACCACTTCCAGCCAATTCTTCACCTTGTGCAATATTATCATCACAAGGTTATGGAAAAGAGGGGCTTCATTAATAGACTGGAGTGCTTGGCGACAGAATATTTATGTGTTCATTCAGAACAAAGTAAATTATTATTTCTGCTTAGTCTACCACCCAGTATCAGATTCCTGGTGAGTTCAGTAGCAGGTGAACCACTGAACTTCAAGTTAACAATTTTAACAATGACTAGAAAGCCACATGTGTCTCAAATAAAGGCAGCATTAGTCAAGTGAAGATTAATTTTTTTTTTAATGGAAACTTTGACCTTTATCAGCAGTATGTAATTTTAAATAAATAGAAAACATAGAGATGAAAAAAAATTACAAGTCTTAAAAGTGCCAGCTTTCCCCTGTTTCCTTCAAAGATTTCATGATACAGAGAGTTACATGTGCCATTTTGGCTGAATTTGAAATAATTTTATGCAAAGTAAAGCCAGAGTTATATTTCCCTTCCCCACAGACACAACCCACAAACAGGAATCCAACCATTTCAGCAAACTTCTAAAAATTAGTGCTTTAGATCTGTTAGCCCTGCTCTGCCACACACATTATCAGTGGCTCACAGTTGGCACAAACATGGAAAAGTCTGTTTTTAAAAAGTCAACAAAAGAACACTTAAGTAAAAAATCACCACTGTTAAAAATTATATAAAAATACATCTTGGGCTCAGGTTGATTCACCTTCAATATGCTCTAAAATCACACCTAACTGTAAACAAAAGTGCACACATATGTCTGTGCTAATCAGCACTGCCTCAGCCAGGCACTTTGAGGTGGCTGTCCCTGAGCTGGCTGAAAACTCAGTTCTGCAAGTTTTACACTGTACAACAGAGTGACCTCTTCAAAGAGAGCTCAATCCGTGGTTTCCTGCGCTCCTTTACAGAGAGGGCCCTCTGATTTGAAGCAGTGGTTGCAGCCATCTCAAGGGATGTTCAGAACAGCTTTGGTAATTGCCTGAGTTGTTTGACATCGAGAATGGTGCCAACAGAATGGATGCTGTTTGACTGGTTTAACATTTCAAGGGTTGGAGTGTACAGATTTCCACGAAAGGCCTGAGTATCTCCTTCATCTTTCCTGACAGGTTGTTCAGTGAATTCAACCCTCCCAGGTAACAATCTGGTTTTTGATTTTAAACCCTTCAGGAACTGAAGTGAGTTTTCATTTGCTTGATCCGTTCTGGGAGGGAAAATTTCATTTGTAATGTTTCTTAACACAGGGTTGTTTAATTCTGGTGAAGCATTAGTAGCCAACTCTCTGCTGTGACTTTTTAGGTGAATGGGAACCCTTCCATCCACTCTTTTGGGTAATTCAGTCTGGTGGCTGAAGCTGTCCAATGCAGGGGTACAGTTTTTGTCTGGCATGCTTTTGCTTTTGACAGTGCCAAAATTGCCATCTTGAGCCTGCAGCTCCTCTTCATCCTCGCTGCTGTCACTGCCCTGTATCAGCCCATACCGCTTCATGTACTTCTTGGTTGCAAAGGACATGTTGTTGGGAGAAATTAAGCTCAGACCCACCATGCTCTTGTCTGTATTTGTTTGCAGGATGTCCTGGAAGGAGAAATCTGTGGGAGGGTTCTGGCCTGAGCGGCTGAGGGACAACCGGGATAACTGATTTTCACTGAGGTACTTCAGGGCTATGGCATTGGCTTCCATGCTCAGATCAACAACGTTGGGACACATGCTGACATTGCCAAGTAACATGGAATTTAAGCCAGGCACCACTGCTTCAGGACTTATGCACGCCAAGATGCTGAAATAAAGCAGCAAAAAGTTCC